AATTATAGATTTATAACTTCCTAAGATCTTACACGACATTTAATGTTGAAATGCAACCATATTGTTTAATCTTTTTAGGAACCAAAAGTTATTTTTTATCATTGGATAGTGGTTTATATAATATCTAAACTTCCATTTACTCAATAGTGTTTTATCTGTTTGATGTTGAATGCTCTAACTTCCTGGTGTTTTTCCTGTTGGCCTTATTAGAGTTACTAGAGAAAAAGCTTTTATTGACGATGAAGGTTCGAATGTGGCCGAATGTTTTAGCAACCTAATCCAAAGCTGTTATGGTCTTAATTATATTCTTGAAAAAAACTGTTTTGCATATTTCTAGACGGTTTTCTACCAGATAAACTATCGCCCGTGTAAGTTAAGTACAATGATCCATTCTCCTAAATTATATATTTATGTCGCCTATTACTCTGAAGATGCAAATTCGCTTTCTTTAACTCACCTTACTGACCTTTAGAGCTTTATGAATTTCAAATTCTCCTATGACTGATTCCGTTGGTTGATATTTAACCACAATTATTTAGATATAACTTCTCTCTCTATCGTCAGAACTTCATTTCATTATTCAGAAACAGCAAGTTAATATTACATGCTGGACTTAGGCTAGCGAAGACCTTCTTTACTTAACTCTTGACAAAACAAAACCAATTGTAACTGTATATAGTCTACCTTTTTTTTTATATCCCACGACTTGGATATTGTTCTTTCTTCAAGAACGTTAATCGTGTTTGATTTAACCATATACTCTTCCTGATTGAACACTGGTGTAATAAATGGTGCATCAAGGTAAACGAATCTAAATGTAAACACATTACCTTCACCCTTCGGCGTAATACCTGCCCACCAGTTTATTTTAACTCCACCCAGCTTCCTTTCTCAGATACAGTCAGGTATCTTGGCTTTCTAAGACGACTAACATGGAATCCACATACTAGACTTAAAAGACAGGAACTTAACAGACGATATGACCAGCTATATAGACTACTGAATAGAAAATCTAAACTTTCTGGTGAAAACAAATTACTGATCTACAAGACAATACTGAAACCCATCTGGACTTACGGACTAGAACTATGGGGAACAGCTAAATTTTCTAACATCAAACGCATTCAATCCTTTCAGTCTAAAGTCCTCAGTACAATAGTCGATGCTCCCTTCTATGTAACCAATAAAACCCTGCATAATGACCTTAATATCTCCTTTATTCTTGATCTTATCCCAGCCAAATTTCACCAGAACCTTTCTCATAACCCAAATCCCGTTTTACAATCCCTATCAAGCACCACCCATCCCTACAATCCCCTTCGTAGGTTAAAGCGGCAGTGGTCACGAGACCTTTTGTAAATATGGATATTTTGGAGTTCTAGCAATGGCCAGATTCTCCACTCAAGTCATGAGTGTCTGTGGCTGTAGCGCTCTTACTCATCCTCCGCTGGTTTTAAATACCAGTGAATTGGCTGAGGGAGAAGCATAGGGATCTCCTAAGCCTCCTTTTCCCCTCCACATGTGGAGGGGACAGGATTGGTTCGGAGATCACCTAGCAAATTGTAAATAATGTATATAGGTATGTTTTATATAAGATGTTTGTTTTACTTTTATTTCTATTTTTATTTACTTATGTGTATATATATATTTTTTTCTTTTCTCTATTGTTCTTTTTTCTTATTCTTTTGTTATTACTTTATTTATTTATATTTTTGTATATACGGCATGAATGTACTCTCTGAACTCTATTATAAGTGTCCTTAACTGTGACAAATTGTAATATTTCTGAACAAAGTGTTTAATAAATAAAAAAAAAAAAGATTTAACCATTTGTTTAAAAGGTGTTACAGCTCAAATTTTTCAATTGATCGATTCCTGTCGCTTAAACAGTACTAAAGCTACTTCGTTCTTATTTTGTTTTCCAAGTACATCAACCCAAATATCTCTCTCATGATACACCATTCCGTTCCGATCTTCGTGTTTCATCGGATACAAAATATGAGCTTGACAAATTATGTTAAATTTTATCGTGTTAAACCATTCATCGGTAATTCGCTGTGCCCCCTTCTTTCCACACCCACTTTCTCTATGCTAAACCTCTAATCCACCAAAAAACCAATAATTTCAGCCCCCCTCTTGATTCCGCGAATATATTTACAAACATTAAATATTTAGGTTTTCTTCTATTTTTTCCTTATTCTAAGCGGACCGTTAGTATATCATTACATCAATTATTATCAGACGACTATAATTCTAAGATAGATATAGTTATTTCTAATTTTATTGTATTATGCTATAATACTAATGTTTTATATATTTTTTCAAAACCAGGATAAATTATGATTGCATACTTGAAACATCAATCTCCGGATCTCACAGTTCAATATATATATATATATATATATATATATATATATATATATATATATATATATATATATATAAAATAAAAGTTTACGTAAATTAAATCTGTTTGTTTACTCCTTTAACTCTCCCTTTTGGTGCAGACAGTCTGCTCTACTTTAGCGATGGTTGGTCAATACATGGCCACTGAGCTTTAAGTGAAGATCAGCGCAATTCGTAAATTCTCCTACAAGTAACAAAAAAAAAAAATATATAATTGAAATAATTAACTTTATCTTATAAAAAAAAATGAAAGCTGCAACAGCCTTTAAAAAAAAGTAGAAGAAAATACCATACTTAAATTATATAAAAATAATGGTACAAACACTTGCATATAGCAACACTAATTGAGGTTGGTAATGACACGTAGTTTTCGTCTTAGTAATGACATCCTCAAGTATTTTATTCGACTAAAACCACAATAGATTTCATTGTAAAAATATTGTTTCTGTAAACTGTATAACATCATTCGAAAGTCAAGCTCAAGTCTTAATGAAGAAAATAATTTTAAAATAGAGTAATAATAATGACAACAATAAAGGAATACGAATCCGTCAGTAGTCGTTGGTTTTTCAACTTAAATACACTCAGTGCCGGTATAAGATCCTTTATCTTCAGACTAATACTACCCTCCGAAAAAAATGTCTCTGTTCCATTAAAGTGAACATTGGTACATAGCGGCGATAGGATAAAGTTTGGAAAATACATAAACATACTTCACGAATAACAAACATTAAAAACAAAACAAATATAATTCAAAATGCTGACGTTATTCTTCATGAGTAGAAATAAATTTTATTATAATTTAACATAGGTTTCAAAAGAAATAAAAAAATTTTTATTAGCAAAGAGAGTGGGATGATGCGTGGTAAAGACATGTTGTTAGCCTAATAAAATAAGATTATACATTAATATTTCGTTAAGAAGAAATATAGTGAGCGGGGAAAAATCAGGTTAGACCCAATAAATTGAGTGAAAGGTTTTCCTTCTTAATAATGACGGTAATTACTCTGGAAGAGAAATGAAAGGCAATAGATGTATAAAATTATGTTAAAGTAGTTTTCTTGCAGGAACAATGATGGTTTTAGGGAGAAATGTTTTTCTTGACAGATACTCAATTTAAGAATAGAATACGCGGAATGTACTGCACGGGAGTCTTTCTCGATGTTGAACAGGCGTTTGAAAGAGTCTGGCATCCGGGACTGATGTACAAACTCCGTAAGTTCCTACCACCTACATACTTCCTCATTATCCGTTCCTACCTTACTGACAGATTCTTCAAAGTAAATCATAACAATGCTTTTTCATCTCTTTTTTCTCAGTTTGCTGGTGTTCCTCAAGGTAGTATCCTAGGTCCTATCCTTTATACAGTTTATACAGCTGACATCCCAACCCATTCCAACACTGTCATCACCACATATGCCGATGACACATGTATCCTATCAGTCAATAACGATCCATCTATTGCATCCCAAACTCTTCAATCACACCTCACAAGTATTGAAAAATGGTGTCAAAACTGGAGGATTAAAATAAACTCCAATAAATCCCATCAAATTACCTTTACTCTTCGTCGTAAACCTATGACTTCCTGTCCTACAGTATCCTTTAGCAATACCCCACTTATCCCTATTGACCAAATTCGATACCTTGGACTCCACCTTGACAAACGACTCACTTGAAACTCCCATACCAGACTGAAACGACTAGAAACCGCCCCACCTTTCCGACTACTCCAGCACTTACTAGACAAACGCTCTAAACTGCCAAATATTTACAAAAGACTCATATATATTACTATAAGGCCTATTTGGACTTACGGGATCGAGCTTTGGGGCTCTACTAAACCATCAAATTCCTCTCGTATTCAATCCCTACAATCCAAAATCCTTCGTAAAATCCTTAATGCTCCCTACTTTGTCACAAATAAAATCATCCATAATGACCTTAATGTACCATATGTTTCCGATTTAGCTCAATCCAGATACCTGTCCTTTCATAATAAACTTCTGAACCATCCGAACCCTCTCGTTTCCAACCTTGCTTCCTCTTCTATTCCTGATAACCCTCCGAGGCGTCTGAAAAGAAGATGGCTTCGGGACCTTCTAATATACAAATATAATTGGAGTGCTACCAATGGGTAGTTTCTCTTCAAGTTGTACATGTCATCTTACTTGTTCATATTTACTTGTTGTATTTATTATTCATTACAATTGTAAATTTCGTTAATAAAATAAAAACAAAAGAATAGAATATAATATGTATTTTGATTGTTCAGATCACTCACAGAAAGAAATGTGAACCAATGAAAAAAAACTTTTTTGGGGGGGAGAGGAGGGGGAGAAGGCTTGTTGAAGTAGTATATAGATTAAACTACTCTCTTTATATCAGAACAGAACAATTTATGTTCACTGATTCATAAAAAAAAATCATCATGCACTTCAGTAGCTTTATGGTAATAACTTATTCTTACATTACACGAAATGAAATTTAGAATAGTGAATTTAAGTTCTTTTATTTATTAATTTGGCCATATATCAATATTTTTTTAAGAGTTAGTGAAAATTAACAATTTGATACTATACAATTTTTTACAGACGTTGAGACAGAAGATTCTTTACTATATAAATTTTTTCCGGTTCAAACTCAAGCCCTTAAATTTAGCGTACAAGCTGCTCATGATGCACACATAGCGTTAGCACCAGGGCCTGCTGAAGCAAATCCTATTTATGAGGTGAGTCAATAAATTATATTTTTTATTATCTTGAATAATTATTACATTATCTTATTGTACGATGTATTACAGTTTCTTATCATGTGTAACACAAGAATCTTAACTCTAACTGCAACAGTATGATCAAGCAAAAACTTGAAGAAATACTATACTTAAGTAATGCAATGAAATTTATTTATAAATATATATATATATATATATATATATATATATATATATATATAATAACTTTATTCTGGGGCACAGTCCCTTGATAATAACAAAATAGAACAAAATTAAAAGATTACATCTGGCCAAAATAAAATCAATAGAAAAAAATAAATAATGTAAAGAAAATATAAGGTAAACATTGTATATACAAAACAAACGAAACTATGTACGCAAAAATTAACACTATTACAAGACACTTAAAGCTATTTGCACTGATAGACCAGTATACACTTTTAAGAAAACAATAAAGAATTAGAAAATAAAAATATATTAATTTCTTCATTAAAATAAGCTTCTTGTTTCTGTTGAGAAAACAGAAAGCTGCCTGAATAATATATAAATACTTTATGAAATATATATATATATATATATATATATATATATATATATATATATATATATATATACATATATATAAATACATTATATACAGGTTGACCCTTTATACAGGTTCTTTATGTATGCCGTTTTATAAGTCTCCCTCCCACTACTGGGCACATAGAACAGAGCTATCAAGTTATACTAACCTTTGTCCCCTCCTCCCTCCAATATTTTTTAAGTGTCGAAGCCTAAGATATGGTGTGGAGTGTTTTAGTGATATATATATATATATATATATATATATATATATATATATATATATATATACATATATAAATATATATAAATAAATTATATACAGGGTGACCCACCCGTAAGTAGAGGGAAATTATTATAGGAGTGATAGTAGATTTCAAGAGCTACAAAAAGGTTAATATAAATAATGGCCCAATTTTCAGTAGAAAATTACGAAATCATAGTTTTGTGATTTTTTAAGCATGTCGTATTTTTTGTTGAATAGGGAGCGATAACTAAAGAAATATTTAATTTAAGTAATTAAGAATTGCTTCAATGTAACCTTGACAAAATTTACTTCAAATGAAAATAGAGAATTTTTTGTTGAAACTGTTTAAAGATAACTTTTGAGCGACTAAACTAAGCTTTTAGTTCTCTAGTAAGCTAAGTTCTCTATTTAAAAAATTCATAAATTAAATGTGAATTTTTTCATCATCATCCAACTATATTAAAGATACCCCGCTTTTACCCCAGATTTAAGTCTGAATTAATTAAATTTAAGTTTATTAGGGAAAAATTTGAGATTTATCTGAAGTTTGATGTGATTTTTCAACCTGTCAAGTAAAAATACTCCTGTTTTCGGCAAAAATTACTTTAAATAATTGTTGTAATGTGTTTATTTCTTGTTTTCCCATGATCTGAGATGTTTTATAATAAACATAATTGCCTAAATACACTTTTTATTGTAATGAAAAATCCTGATTTTGTCAAATATTTTTTTGGTAAAGTATTTATGAAACTGTGTTTTTCATCCAGATCTGTATTATAGGAATTAATCCGTATTTATAAGAGACAAAATAAATGTTTCAAGTCCTATAATGTTTGTTTAGAATAAGGAAATCTGGTGATTGCTTCAATTATAAATACGGACTTAATCCTATAATACAGATCTAGATGAAAAATACAGTTTCATAAATACTTTACCGGAATAGTCAGTATTTTTCAGTCAGTATCAATAAAAAGTGTATTTATACAATTATGTTTATTATAAAACATCTCAGATCATGGAAAAACAAGAAATAAAAACATTACAAAATTATTTGTAATCATTTTTGCTGAAAACTAGGGTACTTTTACTTGACAGGATAAAAAATCACTTAACTTTTATACACAACTTGAGATGAATCTTAATTTTTTCCCTAATAAATCATAAGTTAATAAATTAAAACTGAAAGCTTATTAAACTTAGAAGTTTTTTTGAATGTGGGTTATCTGTAGTATAGTTGGATGATGATAAAAAAAATCACGATTAATTTGATTTAAAAAAAGAAAAAAAGAACTTAACTTAGTTTAGCCCCTTAAAAGACATCTTTAAATGGTTTTAACAATGAAAAGCTCTGTTTTTGTTTGAAGTAAATTTTGTCTACTTTACATTGAAGTAATTGTTATTATTATTACTTAAATTAAATATTTCTTTAATTATCGCTCCCTATTCAATAAAAAACACAAAACTTGGATTCCTACATTTCTGCTGAAAATTGGCCCATTGTTAATATAAACTTATTTGTAGCCAATGAGATAAGCTATCACTCTTATGAAGTTTTCCTTTTATGAAAAACCCTGTGTGTTAACTCCAATTTTGTCTTTTCTTAATGTGGTCACGTTTTACTTACATATGAAGCGATAACAAAAAAATGATTTGATTCAGGTAATTAGAAATTGCTTCATAGGAAACTAGAAAAAGTTTTCTTCAAAAACAAGTAGAGTTTGTCTTTGCCGAAACCATTCAAAGGGGACTTTTGAGTGGCCAAACTATGCTAAGTTGTGTTGACAGTTAACGTTTCTACAAATGAAAAATGAAACTCTATAATTCTTTTCACGTAAATGTAAATATTAGGATTAAACAGATTTAGTTAGTTACTTAATACCATAAGGATCAATTTTCACATTAAATATCAGTGTTATAAACAATGGTCCATTATCCCTTTAGTTGAGGTGTATCATTTTTTTTTTTTTTTATTATTTTAATGGAATTTACAACTGTATTACATAGAGAATACAATAAGTAAATGAGAAATTTGTAACATGGCATGTACAACATGAAGGGAAACTACCCATTGGTAGAACTCAAATTAAAGTTCTATATTAGAAGATCCCGAGGCCATCTTCTTTTCAGACGCCTCGCAGGGTTATCAGGGATCGAGGAGGAAGCTAGGTTTGAAACGAGAGGATTCGGATGATTCTGCAGTTTGTTATGGAAGGAAAGGTATCTGGATTGGGCCAGATCGGAAACATATGGAACATTAAGGTCTTTATGGATGATTTTATTTGTGACAAAGTAAGGAGCGTTGAGGATTTTACGAAGGATTTTGGATTGTAAGGATTGGATACGAGAGGAATTCGATGGTTTAGTGGAGCCCCAAAGCTCAATTCCGTAAGTCCAAATAGGTCTTATTATTGTCATATATACGAGTCGTTTATAATTGATTGAAAGCTTAGATCGTTTGTCTAGTAAGTGCTGCAGTAGTCGAAAACGTCGGGCGGTTTCTAGTCGTTTCAGTCTGGTATGGGGGTTCCAAGTGAGTCGTTTGTCAAGGTGGAGTCCTAAGTAGCGGATTTGCTCAACAGGAATAAGTGGAGTATTATTGAAGGATACTGTAGGACAAGAGGTCATAGGTTTACGACGGAGGGTAAAAGTGATTTGATGGGATTTGTTGGAATTTATTTTTATTCTCCAATTTTTACACCATTCTTCAAGGCTTGTGATATGTGATTGAAGAGTTTGGGATGCAATTAAAGGATCGTTATTAACTGATAGGATACACGTGTCATCGGCATAGGTGGTGATGACAGTGTTGGATTGGGTTGGGATGTCAGCTGTATAAACTGTGTAAAGGATAGGACCTAGGATACTACCTTGAGGAACACCGGCAGACTGAGTAAAAAGAGATGAATAAGCATTGTTATGATTGACTTTGAAGTATCTGTCAGTAAGGTAGGAACGTATAATGAGGAAGTATGTAGGTGGTAGGAATTCACGGAGTTTGTACATCAGTCCCGGATGCCAGACTCTATCAAACGCCTGTTCAACGTCGAGAAAGACTCCCGTGCAGTACATTCCGCGCTCCAATGCAGAGGAGACTACATCTACCACACGATGGCATTGCTGAATAGTGGAGTGGGATGTGCGGAATCCAAATTGGTGATCTGGGATAATGTGTTTAGAGTCTAGGATGGGATACAGGCGTTTTAAAATGAGTTTTTCCAGGATTTTGCCCATAATGGGTAAAAGGGAGATAGGACGGTAAGAGGATGGGTGTTCTGGCGGCTTTGTGGGTTTAGGTATCATTTTGACAATGGATAGTTTCCAAGAGTCAGGAAAATATGTGGTGCGGAGTACAGCATTAAATATATAGGTTAGGAACAATATGGCTTTTTTAGGAAGACATTTTAGGATCTGGGAGGTGATTAGGTCATGGCCAGGAGCTTTGCGAGAAGGTAATCTATTAATGATATTGGATATTTCTGAAGGATGAAATGCTTTAGGTGGAGGAGTCAATTGGAGTGGGGTATCCAATTCTGCTTCAATAAACTCAAGGTGGGTTGGATTAAGGATGTCTGGGTGTGGATTAAATGTTTTTGAGAGGTGTTGAGCAAATATTTGAGATTTTTCATCATCAGATCTGGACCAGGTTTGGGTTTCAGTAATAAGTGGGTGGTTAAAATCTTTGAATTTAAGGAGTTTTTTAGTGGTCAACCATAGTGATTTGTCACAAGTAGTAAGTTTTTCTGTCATGTTATGTAAATTTTGAACTTTGTATTTTCTAATTTCAGCTTTTAGTTGGTTAGTTAATTTGTTGTAATATGTCTTATCTGATGGATATCTAGTCCTGTGCCACTTCGATCTTGCTCTGCGTTTTTCCCTTAATAAGATACGAATATGCTGCGGCAAATTTGTCTGTTGGGAGTTGTCAGTTTTATTGGTAGATGTATTATTCTTTATTTTGTCACTTATAGATGTAGTAAGTTCTTTTATGGCTGTGTCAATATCACGTTTCGTCTTAAGTGGAATATTTAGGTCCAATTTATTTTCCAGGTCTTTACGAAAATTGTCCCAGTTTACTCGTCCTGTAATCAGTGTAGGAGAGGACGAGGGCTTAGGAGCGAAGGTTGTGTGTAATGAAAGCAGAACTGGAGAATGATCTGAGGAGAGGTCATCCAGGGATTTTATTGTGACATGGGAAGAGGAAATTTGGGAGGTGACAAATATGTCGAGGATATCAGGGCGTTTTTTGAGGGATGTTGGCCAATAGGTAGGATTCATAGGAGAGAGGACAGAGTAACTATTGGAAGTTGAGACAGAAGATAGTATGTTACCACGGGAGTTGGATGATCGACAACCCCATCGTTGGTGTTTAGCATTGTAGTCTCCTCCAGCAATAAAGCGCGATCCGAAGGATTGAAATAAGGATTCAAGTAAGTTATAGGTAAGAGTATGACCGGGAGGACAGTATACAGCTGAGAATGTTAAATGGAAAGGACGAGTTGAAATGATAACCGAGGTTGCTTGAATAGCCTCCGTTGGAGTAGAAGGAATGAGAGAATGGGATAAGGATTTATGGATAAGGATGCAAGAACCGGCATGGGAAGTGTTGTCGGGGTGGTCTGATCTATAAGTGATATAGTCACGTATGTAGAAATATGAACGTCGAGTGAAGTGAGTTTCTGTCAGTAGAGCAATATCAATGTGATAGTCATGAAGAAAAATGTCGAGTTCGTCTCGGTGGTTTTGTAGTCCGTTAGCATTCCATAAAAGAACAGCTAGGGGCTTAGTGCTCATCGTGAGAGATTGAAGGGAATTTCGGTAAGGATTCTTGTGAGGAGGGTAATTAGTGGCTTGATAGTCTCTTGGAGATCTTTCAGGAAGGACGCAAGGGTGGAGTTTATTAAATCGATCGGGTTTTGTTGGTCAGGTTGGTTTTGATTAGGAGTTCGTGAGGGAAAGATCTTATGATAAGGAGTGTCTGATGAAGGATGTACCCTTGGAACTTGGGAAGGAGAGTAAATATGAGCAGTAGGGTGGGAATAAACAGGAGTTGGATGTTCGGGCGGTAATTTTACACGTATAGGTATCTGGTGAGGAGGCATTTGCTGACGTGGAGATTTTGAATGAATGTGGGAGATTTGAGTCTTGGATTGGGAGGTCTGGATCTTAGGTTTGGAAGCCTGAGTCTTAGTTTTGGAAATCTGAGGCGTCTGACGTCGCGGCTGTTGATTCTTCACCGTAGTGTCTGAATATAGGTGCCTAGAGTCTTGATGGGGATGATCTGTTGATGTAGAAGGGTTGTGCGTCAATTGTGGTATTATTTCGTTCGGCAGTTGAGGAAACGCTGCCAAATTTAGGAGTTCAGGTGCCTGTACCTGTGCCTGGGTAGAATTCTTCTGTTCTTCTTTTAATGATAAATTATAAGTTCTTTGCTTATATAGCTTCTTATAGATAATGCAGCCCCGATAGGTTGCAGGGTGGTCCTCACCACAAAGGGCACATTTTGGTGGTTCATTTAACGGTTTCTGGCAGGTGTTAGAGGCGTGAGGCCCGGCGCATTTAACGCAACGCACCGAGTGATGGCAGTAAGCCTTTGTATGCCCTAAGTTTTGGCACTTGGTGCATTGAACGACTATTGGTTTCTGCCTCGGCTCTTCAAATTTTACAACAGAATACAGCAGTCTTTTAACTTCGAAGATTTCTGCATTATTCCGGGCTGGTTCTAGATCGATGAAAAATAATGGCAGTGGATATTTATCAATAGGATGTAAAATAGAAGATATATGTCTTACCGAATGGCCGATATCTTCCAGATCTTTTTTTATAGCGGTAGTGGGTGTGGTAGAGTGAAGACCTCTCAAAACCACTCTATATGTTTTGTCTTCTTTTAGTTGATAGCAGTGGAAGTCGTGATTGAGTGCTGTCAAATGATTTATAAGTTTTTTATAATCATCTTTAGTATTGGTGTTAATCTTTATATCGTTGACTCGAGAAAAACACCGGAAGTTGGTCGGTCCGATCAGATTAGCTATTTCTTGACCGAACTGAATGAAATTGTCAATCTTGCTTACATAAATCGGAGGTGGCACTGGTTCAGTGAAAGTTCTAGGTTCAGTGATTTCGTTAATTTTATTATTGGCTGTAACAGAATTGTTACTGGATGTGTTAGTTGATGGTTTAGTGTCAGGTTTCATAGCTGAATTATTACTAGTTTTTGATTGTTTATTTACTTTGAGAGCTTGCTTTGTTTTAGCGGATTTTTTTTTTTTTTATTAGGTGAGTTGCCCGCCGAACCGGGGGCAGAGTTTCTATGGCGCTTTTGGAGAGTTCGCCTTGTTAAATATTGAGAATCAGTCTCACTGATTTCGGAGAAAGGAGTCTCTTCATCTGATTCGTCAAAAGAAATGTTCTTATCAGAATCCATACCTCTAAATAATAATATATACAAAAAGAAGAGAGAAAAAAAAAAGTATCACTAATAAGAAAATTTACAAAACAAATACTTAATAACTAATCTATTTACAAATATATATACAAATATTAAAAAAAACATTTTTATAAATAAATAAAATAGAGTCTCAGTAGAAAAAAAAATATTAAAATAAAATAATCAATTAAGAAATAAAAACAGAGAAAAAAAAAATATATATACTGTCTTAGGTACGAACTCAAGATATTCTGAACGTAAAATAAAGCGCCGTGACCTTGAATTTGAAAGATAAGACCCGCTGAGGGGAATTATCTGCCACGTAAACTGTCTCTAGCAATCGAGTACCAATTTAATGTTGCTAATTGTTAATAAAAGTCACTCACCTCACTGATTGTAATGTAAAAATGTTAAATTGTTTATAAACTCACTGTTTACAAAGTCTGAGAACAGGATTTGAGATAATAAGCACATAACAAACTAGCAAAGACGGAACGATACGAATATAGAACCTCAGTTTCGGCCATGACACTTTATCATTTTTTTATTTTTAGAAACGTTAATTTCCAATAATGAGCTATTATTTTCAGTTACTAATAAAATCTGTTTTGGATGAAATATGAACCATCGGAAATTCAAGGAAGGAAACTCTACTTCCATATGAGAGTTTTTTTTATGAATAACATTTACAAGAAATGGGAGTGGGGTAGCTCAGTGGTAGGGCACTGAGCTTCCAATGCAAAGGTCCCAAGTTCGAACCCCGGCTCATGGCAGAAAATTCATTTATCTGTACCATTGGCCGTGGGGCGAATCTGGGTCGGGAGACCCTCCAGGGGCACACCCAGCTCTATAAAGTGGGTATCCTTAATTAAATAATTAATTAAGGGGGAAAACCTGGCGGTTGAGTGTGATCTCGGTCAAATCACCTCCTTGCCTAGTTGACCTAGAAACAGTGCTTTCCCAAAATAGTACTGAACCACCGACCCTTCATGGGTTGTAGTGGTACAGGTTTTTTTTTATTTACAAGAAATGGAACATTTATTTCAGAAGTAGCCATCATCGAGGAAATGAAAATCCTAATACCACATAAAAATCACCAATGCCATTTAAAAGTAATTACTAATTATTGTAATTTAACATAATTACATATAAAATAACACATTACATTTCTAAATATAAAATATTAAAAAGAAAACCCTACATTTCCTAGAATTTGTTTTCAATGATTTTGTTTTGTTGTAAAGTATAATATTAGGATAAAAAAGATTTAGTTGGTTTCTTAATACCATAATGATCAATTTCCACAATAGATATATGTGTTATAAACAATGTCCATTATCACCTTAGATAAAAAAACAGTATTTTTTAACATATTTTTTTAATGAACAAAAATTGATTTTTCATAATTTACTAAAATATAAGCAAAAGGAAAGAATTAAAACTTTATAATAGTTTCTAGCTTAATTGCAATTGCTGTAAAATTACAATTTATGATAAAAAGCTCATGTTTATCACTATTTTAACTCTATACTTTTTGATTAAATACATTTATTTTATTTTTACAATCACCTAAAACTTTATGCTATCAATATTTTATAAAAACTAAACTGATTTTGTTTTCAATTTTTATCAGGTGTTTATAGGAGGATGGGAAAACACAAAAATAGCCATACGTAGAAATAGAGAAAAAACAGAAGTAGCAGAACTCCCATTTCCAAAAATATTAAATAGACATGAAGAAAGAACTTTTTGGATAACATTCTATAATAAAGTTATAGCTTTGGGAATGAATGATGAAAAAACTCCACTATTAGAATGGCCAGATCCTGACCTGTTCAATATAACACATTTTGGAATACGCACAACTTGGGGTGCAAAAGGAACATGGAACATTGATGGTTAGATCCAGTTTTAGGGTGTCTAATTTTTATTATTAATTTTTTTAGCTTCCTAGTTTGATCTTAAAATGGCCATAGAGTATTTATACTAAGATGAACTTTTAAATTTCCTTGTTACTTATTGGCTATAATATATTTTTTTTTATAATTAAAGAACATTAATAATAATAATCTACTGGCCCACAGATCCCAACCGTAATCCTGATCTTCTAGATTTCTTTATCCACAGCGGCTTAAGTCCCCTCAATTGTTCCATTACACGTCTAAATGAACTTTCCTCTGACCATAGTCCTCTAATCCTTAATGTTTCACTTGAACCTGTTCCCAAACCTTCTCCACCGTCATTCATTAGGGGCCCAGTAAACTGGGACCTTTTCCGCCAAATAATCTCAGATAATATTGATCTCAACATATCCCTCAAAACTCCCGATGACCTTGATAGTGCCGTAAATTCCTTTACTACCACAATCCAACAAGCCGCCTGGACTGCCTCCTTTCCAAAAGACTCCTCCAGAATTCCTATAAAGACCATTCTACCCCAACACCTCCTTAACCTAATCCGCACCAAACGCCGTGCCAGATTATTATGGCAACGATCCCGACATCCTACCGACCGCTGCTCCTATAATTACTACTGCAAACAATTAAAACTGGAATTAGCCACCTTCAGATCACAATCCTTCAACTCCTACCTATCCTCCCTCTCTTCTCGCGACAATTCCCTTTGGAAAACCACAACAAAAATCCTAAATCCTCACCGCATTTCCCATCCTCTCCGACGAGGTGATGGCTCCTGGGCAGCATCTGACGAAGATAAAGCTGAGGAGTTCGCCATTCACCTATCCAATACATTTATTTCACATCCGGAATCCCATCCTGCCCACACCGTAACAGTAGAAGAACTCCTTACATCACCAATCCCACTTTCCTTGCCCCCAAAAGCTATTCATCCTTCCGAAGTAAAATTTCAATTAAAAAAACTAATCCTCCGTAAAGCTCCTGGACATGATCTCCTTACACCTCAAATCCTTCGACAACTTCCATCCAAAGCAGTCATATTCCTTACATATATCTACAATTGTATCCTACGCACCACCCACTTCCCTCTGTTATGGAAACACTCCACTATTATCCTTTTCCCAAAACCAGGAAAACCTCTCAATAGCTCAACATCCTATAGACCAATCAGCCTACTCCCAATCCTTTCAAAAATTTTTGAAAAGATCCTTTTGAAACGAATCCTACCCATTATAGAATCCCAAAATATCCCTTCCCATCAGTTTGGTTTTCGCTCTCAACATTCTACTGTTCAACAAGGACTCCGAGTCGTTGATCATATTTCCTCAGCCCTAGAAAACAAGGAATACTGTTCGGGTGCCTTTCTGGACATTGCACAGGCATTTGACCGGGTATGGCACTCCGGACTGCTCTCCAAGCTTAAAATCCATTTACCTCAGTCCTTGTACCTAGTCCTCCGATCCTACCTCTCTGACCGCTCCTTTCGAGTTCGCTGTGGAACAGAATTTTCCAATATCTACTCCGTTAAAGCCGGTGTTCCCCAAGGCAGCGTCTTGGGTCCCGTGCTTTACATCCTCTTTACTGCTGACATCCCTGTTCATCCCGATACTTTTCTTGCAACATTCGCTGACGACACCGCAATCTTATCATCCAACTCTGATCCCGAAATAGCATCCTTAAATCTCCAAAGTCATCTCACCTTGATTGAGCACTGGTGTAATAACTGGCGCATTAAAGTTAATGAATCTAAATGCCAACACATTACTTTTACACTCCGACGCAATTCCTGTCCACCAGTACTCTTTAATTCCATCCAGCTTCCTTATTCAGACACAGTCCGGTATCTTGGCTTTCATTTAGACCGAAGACTAACTTGGAACCCGCATACTAGACTCAAAAGACAAGAACTCAACCGACGATACGGCCAACTATACCGACTACTAAGCAGAAAATCTAAACTTTCCATTGAAAACAAGCTACTGATCTACAAGACAATACTGAAACCTATTTGGACTTACGGACTAGAACTGTGGGGATCAGCAAAATTTTCTAACATCAAGCGCATCCAATCCTTCCAGTCTAAAGTCCTTCGAACAATAGTCGATGCTCCTTTCTATGTATCCAACAAAACCCTACATCATGACCTTAACATCCCATTTGTCCTAGACCTTATCCCAGAAAAGTTCTCCAAATTTCACCAGAACCTTACTTACCACCCAAATCCTCTTGCACAATCCCTATCAAGCATCTCCCATCCCTATAATCCTCCAAGAAGGTTGAAACGGCAGTGGCCTCGCGACCTTTTGTAAATTATATAAATTGGAGTTCTGGCAATGGCCAGATTCTTCACTCAAGACATGTGTGTATGTGGCTAAAGTGCTCTCGACCAATCTCCGCTGGCTTTAGTACCAGTGACGCGGTTGGAAGAGTAGCGCAGGGTTCTCCTGGAGTTCCCTCGCCTGATTGTATATAGGTATGCATGTTATTTTTTTTTTTTTTTTTTTCCTTAGTTTTAATTTTCTTATTTTTTAGGTTATTTTATTTTATTGTCTATTGTATATACTTTTGATTATTATTTTGTTATATTTATTTTATTTTTTTGTACATATGGTGTGAATGTCATCCTACCTCACTATAACCAATGTCGAACAGACAGATTGTTATAATACTCAATAAAGAAATTAAAAAAAAAAAAAAAATAATAATAATAAAATAAGTTAATCATTATTATATTCAAAACAAGTTAAGAATTAAACATCTTAAAAGTTAGTTAAATTTTACATTCTTAATTTAAATATCAAATACAACTTTTAAAAGTTAATCAAATTTGTAAAAAATTATGATAATTTAAAACAAAATAGATTATTATGTTAAATGTTTTGACTTGTCTTTTATACAGATATATTTCAACATTCATAAATTTTTTTTTAATTGTTTGATTATCAGGGTAGGTCAAAACTGATGATAAAAGACCATATTTCCTACAATTTATTTATGTGGATTATACTATGATAACAAGCAATTATAAATTAGATTTTTAAATGTTAGTTATGTGGGGACATGAGATTGTATATCAATTATATATATATATATATATATATATATATTTTTTTTTAACATATCTAGTGCAGTAACAAATTTTATGGTGTAAAAGTACTCTCCTGTGACTCTTTATTTTCTAGATCACCAAACCTCTTTAATTAGCTTTAGAATACTTAAGTTGAATCTCTTGATCACATAAAGATCAAAAAGGTCTGACATACATTTTTATTTCTAACTGATAATACCTCACATAGTTTTGGAAATGTATTTATCTCATTGGCAGTTTATACCCAAACTCTTATATTTACTAAAATAACTGTAAGTGAAAATTTAAGTAATAATTTTCAGATACTTGGAGTGGCTGGGAACCACCACAAAAACCAGCAATTGGTTTGGCATTAGGTCCTCAATCAGCCGGAATTGGAGTATGGGTACCAGCTGCTCACGGTACAATACCACCAAATGCTGTTCAAGGGGGATTTGAATATGAACAACAATATGTAGGAAGAGCAATGTTAAATGGTGGGCTTATTCCTGGAAAAGTTATATCTTCACACAGAGTTTGTTATGTTCCTTTGGCAGGATCAGAACATCGTCTTACTGATTATGAGGTTAATAATTTTTTACTCTTTATCATATAATATAAAATATGTAAGATTTTTAATTTTAAGATTAAACTAAATCCAGATAAAACGGGAGCTATTAAAATAGTTTTACTCTCAATATTGGAACAGGTAATAAATAAACGCTTCTATGGTTTCTCTTGACTATAAGATAGGATATCTGTTCAGAAACACCAAGGGAATTCTCTGCAAAACTCTTGTTCAATCTGCAATAAGTTATGGTTCCAGAATGCCCTATCTACATGTATTCCATATTTTATCAAATAAAAGATAATCTATTTCCTCATAAAAATTAAATGATTAAAATGAGGTAAATCTTAAATTCAATGAGTTCTTGAATTTTAATTATACAGTTGCCCTTCAATGTGGCAGAATGTATAATTATTCAATAAAGAAAGTAAAAAAAATAAATAAATAAATAAAAATAAAAATTATACAATATATAAGTACTTAACACCACTCTCACAGAAATTGAATTATTAAAATGAGGTGCATCTTAAATTCAAAGCTTTCTTGATTTTTATTATACAATATATAAGTACTTAACTTTGCTTTGTAAAATAAATCAAAAATAGATACCTTTTTTGATTGCTTAAACCAGGAGTTCCCAACCTTTTTGCAGCAGCGGGCATATTTATAGGTTATGTCTTAAGTGGTGGGCACCATGTTTTTATTCATTGTAAATTGCAGGTAGATTACTGTTTATATATTTAAAAAGAAAATATAAATGGTATCAAAAATATATATATGTACACGTATAGTAGCAGATATCTTTATAATTTCTAAAACTAATGAAATATATTTCCACAGAAAAGGCAAAAACACCAAGTGCAATGTATTGATTAATTTTATAGTTTTCTTATATTAAATTAACATATTTTGAAATTCAAATTTAAAATTAATTAGAAGCGATATGGGTTATAACTAGTTATAAAATAAGTTAAATGCAGTGTTACCAGTTTCATTAATCTTTTTTTATAACTATCCGGCTACCCAATATCTGATCTGGGAATATTGTTAACTACCTGATAGATTTAAAAATATGTATAAATGTGTATTATGTATTAACATTTATTATTTTTGAAAAAAAGAAGGAAAATTATGGGATAAGACCATAAATCTTTATACCTGGATTCACTTAAAATAAAGTTCAAATAAAAGAAATCTTCCACAAAAATGTCATAACACCACTCATTGTAATTTTAAGTTTATGGGATTGTTTTTAAAATTTTATTTTATTTTCTGCTGTGTTACCAATAGTTTTATGAATTTTTTTTCATAACTATCTGGCTACCCAATATCTGATCTGGAAATATTGTTAACTACCTGATATATTAAAAAATATGTAAATGTGCCAAGAGAGAAACACTTTATTTTCATATAAAATATATAAGCTTGCTGCCCAATTATATTGGGTTGCTAGACTCACAACATACTGGTTAATTCTTAGGACAATCAATATTAATGTAAATATTTATTATTGAATATTTAATAGTTGACCATTGCATTATAAAGGAAGAAGATGGAAATAATGCATCAATTACTTTCAGACCAAACAACTTACTCACCCTCCTCCCGTGACCCAACCCATACACTACTGTTAAAATTCAACCAACACATTAAAAACTTATTTGAGACCAAACTAATTAATCATCCCACTTACTACAACCTAATATCCTACAACTCCTTAGCACCCTGCTTATATGGGTTCCCAAAAATTCACAAACCTAGAAATCCTCTCCACCCTATCATCTCCAATATTAAAGCCCCCTCAGCTAAACTCAGCAAATTCTTCTTACTCTCTCTCCAAAAACTTAGGCACAATAATCCTTATGACATTAATAATTCATTCCACCATAAAGAAGAGTTATCTTCTCTCCATATTCCTGACAACTTTATCCTTGTTTCCCTAGACGCCGAAACCTATTAACCAACATATCAATAGACAAAGCCCTCCACATTGTACAGAAAAACTGGACAATCATCGAAACTTACACCACCCATAACATTGAATCCCTTGAGCTTTGTTGCAGATCCGGATACCTCACCTTCCAAGGAAAATTCTTCAATCAGATTTCAGGCCTAGCCATGGGAAATTCTTTAGCACCAGATATTTCCAATATTGTTATCAATGACCTTCTAGACTCTGTTATCTTTTCTTTTCATAAAAAAATATGTCGATGACCTCCTCCTTGTTCTTAACCCTGACAGCATCCCTCAAATTCTTTCCTCATTCAACTCTTACCACCCCCGTCTCCATTTCACTATAGAGAAAGAAGTTAACAATTCACCCATCTTCTTAGACCTCCTAATAATAAAAAACACTGACGGCTATGTTTCTACTGACTGGTACACTAAACCCAAGTACTCAGGCAGACTACTCAACTTTTATTCTCTACACCCATATCACAAAAAAATCAATACCGCCAAAAACCTTATTCACCGATCCCTCTCTTTATCTGACCCACAAAACCACACTGAGCGTCTCAAAGATATACTCCTTCCCAATAATTTCCCTCTCAACACCATACTTAAACTTTTAAACTGCTATACAACCAAAAAGAGCACAACCTCCCCTTCTCCCAACTCCCCACAATCACCTACCACTCCTTTCATATACAAATCTCTCTCCTACATTCCTATTCTCTCACGTAATATACCAAAATTCCTTAAATCGACTTTAACCAACTTACGTCTTGGCCATAAGTCTCATAACAAACTTTCTTTCCTTTTCACCAACTTGAAGGATCCCATACTTTTACAACATCGATCTAATGTAGTTTACCGGATACCTTGCTCTACTCCTAATTGTAATAGCTCCTATATTGGTGAAACCAAAATCCATCTCAAAACCCGCATATCCCAACATAAAACAACCATAACTTCCCGGAACCCTTCCGCCTCCAAACTATCAGAACATGCCTTAACCCCCAACTATTCATTTGATTTTGAAAAAACCTCTATCCTTGCCACTGTCCCTAACCATGAAAAAAGACTCATTTCCTTATGATTCCTAATTTCCGAATCCATCCACATTCACACGGAACAGAATCCTGTTAATCATAAAGTAGATAAAAACTACATTTATTTAACATATAGACAGATTTTAAATATTATAAGTGAAAAATAACTTTTATATTACATCTGAGTTCTGCGCATGCGCTAGATTACCATATACTACCGTCACCTCCTCTCTTAGACATATTTACTTTTTGTTAGGAAATTGGTGCTATCTTTTGATAAAATTGTGATTGTATGTTAACTAAACACCTGGACCATAATATATACTAATGCCACAGTGAGTACTGTTATTTATTGTGTACAGTTGTGCGAAGTGAAGCTGGTGTACAGAGGACTGTCCTTATCTCGCAGCCATAAGTACCTAGCCCGACGTAGTCAGTTGGCCTGGAGCCTTCACTTGGAAAGGGAGGTCTTACAGCGCCTCTGATACAAAATCAAGGTCACGCAGCGTGTTTTAATTTTATTTCTTATTTTATTTTTTCTTTAATTTTTTTTTCTTCCCTCACTTTCTTCTGTCATGTTATGAGATTTTATCAGCAACTCATGTCTTCTAAGGATGCAACAACGAGGTCTCGCTCTGTCGGATCTACAACACGTTCGTCACCTGCGAAAAAAAAACTCGTCGATCGAATAGAAATACGCCACCTGCAACTCCACCTACAGCAACAGATAATATTGAATCTCAACCAGGTATATCTCAGGATACGAGGGAACAATCTCCCTTTTTCACCCCAAATCCTTACGAGGTACTTCAAAATGAAAAAGAGGTAATGGAATCTGCACCCATTCCAGAGACCCCAGACCTCCTTCAATTTTCGTTAAAAACCTAAAAAATGTCTCTTTACTTTGCACCCAGGTAAACAAAATCACACTTCCTGGTAGCTACTCCTGCCTAAGCCGCACTAACGATATTAACATATGCCCTGGCACAGCTGATGCATACCGCCAGATAATTAAATATTTACTATACACAAAGGCAGACTTTCACACCTACCAATTGAGGCAAGAGCGTTCCCTAAGGATAGTAATCCGAAATTTACACCCCTCTACTCCAGTCGAGACAATCCAAGAAGAATTGACGGCGCTAGGTTTCATAGTCCGAAAGGTCCTCAATGTTATGAAGGACGACAGAGACGTTTCTGGAGCAAATAATAAAAAGATAGCATTACCTCTATTTTTCATCGATTTAGAACCCTCAGCAGGAGTCGAACAAAAATATGAAATCAACAGACTATATTATACAAGTGTCAAGGTTGAAAAACCATACACTAAAAGAGAAATCGTCTAGTGCCACAATTGCCAGGTACATGGACACACCAAAACATACTGCCACCACATCCCAAGATGCGTGAAATGCGGAGAGTCACACAAGACTGGTGAGTGCAAGAAATTAAAAACTACTCCTGCAGTATGTGCTTTAGAAGGACATCCTGCTAACTACAAGGGCTGCCAGGTGTATAAAAACATCAAAAATAAATTTCGTAAACCACGCAACCCAGAAGAAACTTCTAAACCCAGAAGAGGGCCAGCTAAGATAGTAGACTCTAGAGTATCTTATTTTCAGTTACTAGGGAGCAGAGGCCCTTTCACAACAGGAACCCCAATCCCAACTCCAATACTATATCCCTCCTAATGTACAAAACTCTCAACAACCTCATCAACATCACATTCCTTATGTTCCTCCTCCATTACAAGCCACTGATCTCACCAGTTTGTTGGCATCTTTTCTCACCGAATTCAAATCCCTCGTCACCCCACTGCTATCTCTCTTTACAAATCTAGTATCTCACCTCACCCCTCCTTAAAAGATTCTTAAATGAATTCCATCAAACCCTTATCCATTCTCCTTTGGAATGCGAATGGTGTTAGAAACCACACTGACGAACTAACAGCTTTATTGCTAGATAAGAACGTCGATGTAGCCCTTATTACAGAAACTCGACTGACCAAAAAACAAATTTTAAATATACTTCAGTACTCAACATATCATACTGACCATCCAGACGGTAGAGCACATGCCGGCACTGCATTCATTGTACACCAATCCCTCTCTCATCACCTACTCCCATTACCTACTCACGATTCCCTACAATCCACTGCTATCATAATCAAAACCTTCTCGTTTCTTATCAGCGTATTGCCCTCCCAACCAATCCACCTCTAATATCCAATTCAGTTCCTTCCTGAATTCCTTAGGACACCATTTCATCCTGGTTGCAGACTCAAACGCCAAGCATCAGCAATGGGGTTCAAGGACTACGAATTCTAGAGGCCGAACACTGCTGTCTGCACTCAATTCCCAACATTTTAATCTCGCTCTCCCGAACTCACCAACCTACTGGCCCACTGATCCTAACCGTAATCCCGATATCCTTGATTTCTTCATCCATAGTGGTTTAGGTCCCCTAAAATATTCCATTGCACGCCTTGATGAAATTTCCTCAGACCACAGTCCATTAATATTTCAAGTATCACTAGCTCCTATTCCTAAACCCTCCCCACCGTCCTTCATCAGAGGCCCAGTCAACGAGAAACTCTTCCATCAAATCCTTTCCGATCAAATTGACCTCAGAATAACCCTAAAACCCCAGAAGACCTTGAAAATGCTGTACATTCCTTAACCCCCACCATTCAACAAGCAGTCTGGACTGCTTCCTCTCCTAATTATTCCCCTAGAATCCCAAAGAAAAATAAATTACCTCATCACATCCTCGACCTAATCCATACCAAACGCCGTGGAAGATTGTTATGGCAACGTACCAGACATCCCACCGACCGCAGCTCATATAACTATCTCTGTAAACAACTAAAGCAAGAATTATCCAACTTCAAATCCCAATCCTTCAACTCCTTCATTACCTCCCTCTCTGCTCACGACAATTCCCTCTGGAATATCACCAAAAAAATTCTAAAAACCCATAATATTTCCCATCTCCTCCGTCGAGGTGAATGCTCCTGGGCGGCGTCTGATGAAGACAAAGCTGAGGAATTCGCCAAACACCTTTCCAGTACATTTACTCCTCACTCCGAATCCAATCCGACCCACACCGCTGATATTCCTACTCATCTTGAAACACTCCTGGCAACATTCGCTGATGACACAGCCATCTTATCTTCCAATCCAGATTCTGAAACAGCGTCCTTAAACCTACAAAGTCACCTCTCTCTTATTGAACTCTGGTGTAATAAGTGGCGAATCCAAGTAAATGAATCCAAATCCAAACATATCACTTTTACCCTTCGACGCAATACCTGTCCACCAGTCTACTTCAACTCCATACCACTTCCTCTGTTCCACACAGTACGGTATCTTGGCTTTATTCTAGACAAAATACTAACATGGAACCCACACACCAGACTTAAAAGACAACAACTTAACAGACGTTACGGACAACTATATAGACTATTCAATAGAAACTTTCAACTTTCAGTCGACAACAAACTACTAATCTACAAGACAATCCTGAAACCTATTTGGACCTACGGAATTGTGAAGAACTGTGGGGGACAGCAAAACTTTCTAACATCAAACGCATTCAATCCTTCCAGTCTAAAATCCTCCGATCAATAGTCGATGCTCCCTTCTATGTATCCAACAAAACTCTCCATAATGACCTTCATATCCCATTTTTTCTTGACCTTATCCCAAACAAATTTTCCAAATTTCACCAGAACCTCACTCATCATCAAAATCTTATAGCACAATCCCTATTTAGCACCAGTCATCCCTACAATCCTCTCCAGAGGTTAAAACGGCAGTGGCTCCGCAACCTTCTGTAAATGTTTATATGTTGAAGATCTGGCAATGGCCAGATTCTCCACTCCATGAGCGTCTGTTGCTGTAGTGCCCTCCATCAGTTTCCACTGGTTTCAAATAACAGTGACGCGGCTGAGAGATAAGCCCTGGGATCTCCTGGAGTCCTGCCTTGGCTTCCACATCGAGGGATAAGACATGACTCAGAGTCCCCTGGGTGAATGTAAATATTATACATAGGTGTGAATGTGATTTATTTACTTTAATTTCATTTAGCTTTTATCTATTATTTCATTTTTTTGTACACAGGCATATCAATTTACTTATTTTATTTTTTTATATTTCTTTTTCTTTATTATTGAAATATTAATTGTATGTACATATTGTGTGAATGAATCATGTAGCCTTAATATTAATGCCCTTCAATGTGGCAGAATGTATTAATATTCAATAAAGAAAATGAAAAAAAATATTACATCTAATTACATTTTTTTCTACTTTCAATTTTTATTGATTAATTCAATTTAATTGTTCATTATTCTAAGTATTTCCGCTTTGTATGATCTCGCTTTTAATTTATTTTAATTTTATATTTACATTCTATATCAATGTACTTTTTTTACTTTTTAACCATGTCCCAATTTTATCTAATATTTAAATGTAATTTTCATACATAAGTACAACCAAATATAATTATAATTATTCATACTTTTTTTCCTCTCTATACTTCTAAGTTTGTTCTGCAATGTATGTTATTTCTATATTTATGTTTTATTTCTACGTACATTTTACTTCTTTCATTTTTGTTTTTATTCACATTGTACTCTTATCTATAATCTCTTAATTCTATTTTATATGTATATGTATATAGTATTTTTCCCCTTGTATCCATCCATATCTTCAAATTTTAGATATTGTAATTTTCTAGATTTTTCTCCATTATCCAAACAATCCAGCAAATTCCCCAATACCTGCCCTTACCCTGATTTTCCATTTCTAAGTGAAACTCCTAGCTGAACACACCTGTAAGTCTCTATTTTTTATTCTTCTAATTTTATTTACTTATTTTTTGGTTTTCATTTTTCTTTTCTTTCTCCACATTCCTTTATGTCTATTATTTCCTTTTCTTTCAATCTCTCCTGTAGATCTGTAGAAGTATATTCACATTTGCATATATTATATATTACACAACAACAATTGTTACCATCTATTTACTTCAGTTTAAGATCTTGTTACTTAGCTTACTCTGTTTATGTTTTAATGTACTTACTGTTTTTAATTATAACAAGCTTATTCACATTGTTTATATTTTTTTTCTAAATAGTATGTAACTTCCACAATCTCTATCTTTTTGTATCTTGTCCGTTCTAGCCCTGAAGAAGACCTGCAAAGTTGGGTCGAAACCTTGGCTTTTAATAAAATAGTTTTGCCACTATTTAGCCTATTTAAGACTGCCACCCTGGACCATCTTCTTCCTTTAAATATTTATGATGTATTAACATTTATTATTTTTGAAAAAAAAAAAGAAGGAACAATTTTTTTGATAAGAACATAAATCTTTATACCTAGATTTGTTTAAAAAAATGAAGTTCAAATATAAGAAACAATGTGTTCCACAAAAATTTCATAAAACCATCCATGGTAATTTTAAGTTAATGGGATTGTTTTTAAAATTCTGTTTTATTTTCTGCTAGATTCTCTGTGACTGTGGTGGAACATGGGTCAAAACAACAAATGGAAATATTCCTCCCACTGCTATTCCAGGAGGGAAAACCGAAGATGGAGAAACTCTGTACATAGGGCGAGCAGAACATATAGGAATTTTAACAGGAGGAAGAGTAATTAGTTTAGATATTTCTAACCTTTTTTTTTAGATTTAACAGATGTTTAAAACTATGTATACAGTATTTGTATTCAAAGTATCCATTAACCTTTTAATGACGATACAGATTAATTTTATTATCTTATAAGATTAATTAACAAAAGGTTAATTTTGTTTTTATATATATATATATATATATATATATATATATATATATATATATATATATATTTAAACATAACCATTTAATTGGGAATAAGGTCACTTATTAATAAGGAACAAAAGTTATTTACTGAATTTAAGACAGACTTTCTTAGATTTATTAGATCTATCGACTTCGACTTACCAGGGATGGGCAGCGTGGGTGATTTCTTGTTGGCTTTGTTGGATTGACTTGCTGTGTTTAATATTTAATATTCCGATTTAATTTTTGTTTTATTTTTGTGTGTTTATTCTTTGTATTTTTGTTTGTTAATGTATATAAATTTGAACTAAAAATGTATATCATGTAAAACTAGAAAAGGGACAATTGTAAACAAATGTAATTCATGTAGTATGTCTTTAAGGCATGGAGCATGAAGGAAAATCAAATAAACGATCCTTGTGTGGGGTTGCCACATAAGGAAAAAAAAAAAAAAAAAAAGTCACTTATTTAAAATAAACTACAGAATATTCATTTCCTCTATGTTTATTGACGTTTCGCTCCCGGTTTTTTTCTTTTTATAAGGTAACGATCAGATCCTCTTCAAAGTTTTAAAAATAGAGCTTCGATCAGACCAGGGACACACCAACAATCTCAGCACCGTCCACTAACACATTCAGTGAATGAAAATTCAGTAGTTTATTAAATAATTAATAAGTGACCTTATTCCCAATTAAATGGTTATGTTTAAATTTAATACTCAACGATCGATTAAAGAAAATTTGTAAATATATATATATATATATATATATATATATATATATATATATATATATTTATTATTAATATTAATACAAAATTATTAATTTTGTTTCAAATAATATTATACTAAAAAACCATACTGTCAAAAGCCAAGAGAAATAAGTGCTTAGCATAAATAATTCTTAAAAATGATAATAACATGGACTACGATTATAATAAAATAAATTATAAGAATAAATAAGAAAATAGTAATAAGGATTTTTCTTTATAATAATGTAGATATTTATTGATACTACTTGAATAATGTTCTTTTTAGAAAAAATAAGAATAAAGATTGCCGTATAATATGATATGTAATATAAACAAAAAATATAAATTTTGTTTTGAATATTTTTTTACTGGCAAAAAATACTGTCAAAAGGCAAGAGGAATAAGTGCTAAGTTTAAATAATTTTAAAAACTAATAATAAAATAAAATTGTAAAAATAAATAAGAAAATAATAATGATTTTTTTTTTTTATTAAAAATATTATAGATATTTATTGACACTAATTGAATAATGTTCTTTTTAGAAAAAACAATAATTGAATTAAAAACAAATGTATTTTTCCTGAAAAACAGGTACTCTGGGGTGACAGAATGTAAATTCACATAATTTTTAACAACCCGAGGGTAAAACTCTTCTACAACAAACCTCAACTAAATTGATATGAAATTAAAGCTTATTAAACAAGGAAGTTTTTATAAAAGTGGGGTATCTGCAGGATGAAAAAAAAATCACAAATTATCCATAATTTAATGAAAAACCGCAACTTAGCGTAGTTTGGCCGCTCAAAAGTCCCATTATATATATGTATGTGTGTGTGTGTATGTGTATGTATATGTATCTATGTGTATGTGTATATATATATATATATATATATATATAAATATTTATATATGTGTGTGGGTGTGTTGTGTGAGAAAGTTTTGTATGTGTAAATATATGTATATATAGTTTCCTTTTGCATATAAATTATATTTAGTTTTTCTTGTACTTTTAATGATTGTAACCTAGTTTTTTCATTTATATCTTATGTAGGTTTTTATGAGATTTTTCCTACTGTAAAAAATTAATTTCAATTTTCTAACTAGTATTCAAACCATCATTATGTCATGTATAAGGTTAATGCAACCATAAACATGTAGCTTATCAGTATGACATGTTGTAATGTATATAATAAAAAAAAAATAATAATAAAAAAAATAAAATAAAATAAAAAAAAAGTCCCATTAGTTGGTTTTAACAAAGACAAACTGTATTTGTATTTGAAAGAAATTATGTCTAGTTTACTATAAAGCAATTTTTAATTACCTGAATTAAAAAAATGATTTTTTTTGGAGGAAATTCTGTCTTGAATCACGTCCATGTACAGTGTTGTTTTAATACGTCAACAAATAAAAATATTACTTTTTTATAATTATTGCTGTTTTTAATATAGAAATTATTATTTTTTGAAATTATCCATACTTAAAACGTATCCCTCTAACCTTTTTGACAATATTGTCTGTTAGTAAAAAAATATTCAGATCAAATTTTTTTTTTGTTTATATTACATATAATATTGTACGGTAATCTTAATCCATATATTTTTTTTCTGAGAACATTATTCAATTAGTGTCAATCAATATCTACAATATTTTTAATAAAAAATGCTCATTATTATTTTTATAATTTATTTTAATTTAAATTTATTTTATTATAATCCTAGTCCTTATATTTTATTATTATTTTTTAAATAATTTACACTTAGCACTAATTCCTCTAGCCTTTTGACAGTATTTTTTGTCAATAAAAAATAATTAAAACAAAATTAATACTTTTGTTTATGAATACAAATATAAATAACATTAATCAATAATAATAATTAATATATTAATAATGTACACACATATATATATAAATAATATTAATTTTAAACAACTAAAGTTCCCCAGCGGGCAAGCAGAGCAGAGATGTCTGAATCTGTATAGGGTTTGTAAATACGCGGCCCGGCCACACATAGCAATGCAAAACTAGAGCGGCAATCCCGCAACACTTCTTTTTCTTAAGTTCTTAATCTATAAAACTTGTTTTACTTCGAATTTTTTTTCCTTGTTGTTAACAAAAATACGTGTTTTCAAATCAATTTTTTACAAAGATTGCGATTTAACAAAAGCTCTGATATTCTCCGGAAAATTTATTTCTTACAACTTGTTAGCAGTCTTTGTTAAAGATAAATTTGTATTAATTTAAACCACCACGGTTAGCCTTAAGCTAGTTAAAATATATTTAAAATTAATTTTGTATGTAAAAATGTTCGAACAATTTCTAGGCATGAAATAATATCTCCTATAACTAGAAATACTCTATAATTTAGTTTTAAGAATTGACTCATTGTTTTTTATCTTTGAAACAAAATAAAATATAACAATCCTTTATTCTCGCTCTAATATTTTTTTTTTTTAATAATTACTTAATGATATTTACAACTGTATTAAAGAAATACATTTAGTAAATTTGAACAAATGGATATAATGACGTGAAAACACTTGCTGAGTTACTAATCAATGGTAACACTCTTATGATATGTTTACATTAGGAGATCACGGGGCCATCTTCTTTTCAGACGCCTTGGAGGGTTATCAGTAATTGAAGAGGAAGCAAGGTTAGAAACGAGAGGGTTGGGATGATTCTGAATTTTATTATGGAAGGATAGGTATCTATGTATATGTAGTAATATAGATAGTTGTTATAAATAGATAAATAAAATTATGCGTTTTAGAGGTCTATCATTTTATAAGTTAATTTATTGTCAAATTTAAAAATTCCCAGATTTAAACAAAGAAACCGAATGTTTTTTTTTGTTTTTCATGGTATTTTTTTTAATTTTTACATCATATTCGTGTTTCTTGGTCCAAAAAACATAATTGTACTAAATATCAAGTTAATCCGACATCATTTACGAGTTCTGGGCCCATGCCCTTCTTTCATCCCACTATAGGATGGCGGGATTCGAATTATATATTTCTTTGTATATACAAATATTTTTACCTAAAAAATTTATAACTGTGCTATGTTTCAATATGGAACATTGAAACATAGCGCAGTTATAAATTTTAATATTGCACTCACATTTATTTTGAATTTTAAACATTTTTATATTATATGATATATATATATATATATATATATATATATATATATATATATATATTATTTTTAGGTGGATGAAAAAATGATAAAACAACTAAAATATCATTTTAATTCTGTATATTTTTACATTTATTTATATAAATAATAATAAATGTAATGTAAAATATACAGAATTAAAATGATATTTTAGTTGTTTTATAATTTTTTCATCCACCTACAAATAATATATATATATTTCATATAATATAAAAATGTTTAAAATTCAAAATAAATGTGAGTGCAATATTAAAATTTATTATATATATATATATATATATATATATATATATATATGTATATGTGGATACATATATATATATATATATATATATATATATACATGTATATATAATGTAGGAAGTGGGGTAGCTCAGTGGTAGGGCACTCAGCTTCCAATGCTCAAGGTCCCAGGTTCGAATTCCGGCTCATGGCAGATAAATTATTTATTCTGTTTCATTGGCTGTGGGACAACACTGGGATAGAGAGACCCTCTTCAAAGTGGATACACTTAATTAAATAATTGATTAAGGGGGAAAACCTGGCAGTTGGATGTTATCCTGGCCCTTTATCCCCTCCCTTTAGCCTTGAAACAGTACTTCCCCTAAATAGTACTGAACCCAAGACCCTTCATGGGTTGTAGTGGTAGTGGATATATTTTTTTTTTAATATAAAAATGTAGGAAACTTTAAAAGAAAAAATTACAAGATTGGCTTATTAACATTTATTTGATGTATAAAACATTTAAATAGAATATAAGTAAGATCATGGATATGACACAAATAAAAGAGAAAGGACATACCTTGGGTTCAGAATAAATCTGCAATTGTCATCTTCCAAATGGTCAGAATCTGGAATGACCGCACTGTGTCAGCTAAAGGAGACTAATGAATGCACCGATCAAGCCACAAGTCAAATGGTGAAGGTGGGACTTGCCCCTAACTCTTTAAGTGAAGACAGCCAACGCGGGAAGGCATATATCCCTGCTGCACCAGTGACCCAACTCACTGCCAGGCAGGCATATATTCCATCTGCACCAGTTTTCCAACTCCTAACGGGAAGGCGTGTATCCCGCCGCAGTCAAAGAGTTAATAACACAAATCTCAAACAATTTTAGGTAATGATTGAGTGAAATTTTTGGCTAACACAAACTTATTTTAGGTACCAATATTTAAGATATAAGAATTAAATTAAGGCTATATTTTTATATTATTTAATTATATTTTATAGGTCCAGAGAAGTCAAGGGTTATGCTACGTTTCACATTCAGGAAAAGAGTTTGGCAAGACTGATTATGAAATCTTGGTGGAACCACAATGAATTAAAGATGGAACCAATTGTGAAGCTTAACTTTAATCTTTATTTTATATTACTTAATGTATTTGGTCAAGTTTTTAATTGAAAAAATAATTTGCAAAATTGCAACAACAGCATGGCTCAATGAATTGTCCAAACTATAAGTAATATGATATGATACTGTATACTTTTTAAAAATAATGTACTGAATTATAAAAACTTTAATGTAATGTAATTATCATTGATAACACTATTTTATTATGTAGAACAAATAATAATAGAAATGATTATTTAAATTAAAGATGCATAATTGTTAATAAGAATGTAAATTTAATTTTAAAGAATAAACCACAATTTATCTCAGTAAACAATCCATACCATTTATTGAATTTGGTTTTAAGTTTGAAAGACTTCATGCCAAAAGTGAAAATTAGCCTTGTCATTAAAATAAGATTTTCAAAAATATTCATTTCAATAAAAAAAACATTACTGTTTTATTTAAATAAAATAATGTATTATAACCTTTAGTAATACAATTTACAAGTTCATACAGTCCCCAAATTGTTTCACAATAATTATGTTACAAATAATATAAACTACCGCCATTTTTTTTTTTTTTTGTTCATCCCTCTATCAAAATGGAAAGTCTGATGAAGAGTATGTTTCACATAACTCGGTCAATTGCTTTTGTCTTTCATCATTACGGACCCAATCTATTTCACCTTCACTCCCACTAAATCTCTTTCCAATTTAATTTAAATAACCGTAACCATCCGAGTCCCATAATCTTAATGCTCACCAACAACAAATAGATTCACCTTCATAGTCTGGCCATTTATCGATACCTCTAACTTACATACCTTAAACACTTAAATTAGGGTGTTCGTGAATGATCTATGATCTGAGCTTCAGATTAGTTCGGTACAATTATATGTCTGGAAATAACTTAAATAATCACCTTTCATTCATCACCGATATAGATGCAGCCTTATCTATTTGAAATACCTCCATAATGTTTCCAATTCGAGGTTTAACTGAGATTCTTTTTCTTATATTTTGCTGAATTTGACAAAGAAATCTTTCATTCAATTTTTGTTTGTTTGTTTATTGATTGTTTCATAATTTATTTACCGTGAATTATCATTTTGTGTAATCATCATCAGATTCACTATTGGTAATGCATTTAAAGGATTCTGTACAAGCAAAAGCAATGTGACTCTTTTTTTTTTTTTTTTTTTTTTTTTTTTTTTTTTTTTTTTTTTTTTTTTTTTTAAGCATATCCTCCTTAAAGCGACATGGCTCTAGCGTGTGCTCCTCCTGAAGACAATGATAACAAGTCTTGCCCTTGTGAAAGCGATTATCTTTATTATTATATCGCGATTTTTTTTACCCATATTGTTGTTGATGTACTATTATCCCAATTTTAAATCTATACTATGGAAATGAAGAAGCCAACCAACTGGCAAAGGAAAGAGCTGCATCCCCTCAAACTCTTCAGGAGGCTATTTCTATAAATAGGGCTACTAAGCTACTATATGACAAAGGTGGAATGATGCCCATCCACATTAAAATTCTGAAGAAAATTATAGGTTAAACAAGTTACACTCTTTTTAGGCTCAGAACAGGATACAACATGAGAGCACACCTCTAAGAAAAATTTAAAGGTGAAGAAAACCGTCTCTGTAGCTGTAGAATAGGCTACCGGAATACAGAGCTTATCCTTCAGACAGGATGAGGTGACATCAGAAAGCTAATTTGGAAAAAAGCAACTGACTTGGCAATGAAGCTCTACGGTGGTCTGGAGGATCTCAGAAAGATCATCGAGTTTATACTCTCAATCTCGGTCCTCACCATTTGAGGGAAGTTTGAAGAAGAATCTATACTCACGGCAGCTAACGGATTTCTTTCGTGAAGTGATGCTATTTTTACTGCTTTAGGGAAATTTAAAATCTTCAATTTTCAGCAATCCTAATCGCAAGTTATTCTCTAACACCAATCTAAAACTGTGTACACAGTGCTTCATCTAGCTATTGACTTGGAAATTTACAAAATTTAGTTAAACTCCATAATACTTAAAGAATAATCTATTGATTCTTCATTACTTAATTGAGTTCTGTCATGAAATTTTAACCTTTATGTAAACCTATTGGATTCAAGGATCACAAAAACCAGATAATATTTCTATTATTTTCTCAAAAAAATTCTATTCTGGTAAGTAAGGTGAACATATATCACTTACCTTCTTATAAGTTTCCTTGCCGATCACATGAAGGAAATCGAGAACCTGGTTGTCCTTGGCATCCCGTAGATGTTGATGCCATTAAGTAGTAGTCGATGCTGTTCAGTAGTAATTGATGGCAATAACATTCCCAAGTCGTTTTTTCAGGTCGGAACTCACCAAAATGAATGAAAGTTTCTCCGACTTGTCTTCGCTTTTGAATTCAGCTTCTATATTGTTAACCTTATCTTAATTTTCCCCTTATGGTGGCATTCTTTACAATCTTCGACACCAATTATTAAGTTAACAGAAAAGGCTTTTAGATAATCAATATTTATTTAACAACTTAACAATAACTGACCAAAACAAAAATGAAAAATACAACATGATTACCATTGTAATAAGAACTGTTATAAAGCCAACACTAAGGCCCCTTTCACACTGAAGATACATGCTTCTTAAACACAGGACTGTGTAATGATGAATATAACGTCAAAATAGAAAATTTCCATGAAAAACACAGAAAATTCTAGTTTCTTTTAAACAACCTAGGAATTTTTAAATCTGACAATAAATTAACTTCGAAAACGATCAAGACTTTTTGAAGCACAAAATTTTAGATGCCTATTTATAATTAATGTCTATATTACTACATATAATCGTTATTTTCATATTTTTTTAAAATTAAAAAAACACAAAATATAATTATGTATTTATATGTAATAACTATAAAAATGTACCGTACATCAATTATAAATTTCATTTTACAATAGTTCTTATGGAAGAGTAAACATTAATTTTATTTTCATTACAATAAAATTTTAAACACCATTGATACTAATTCCTCCTCACATTCTCCGATGAAAAAAATACATATTTTTTTTGTTAATTTTAAAGACTATATTAAGAATAACTGATACAGATCAAGTCATAGAGGTTCAATTAAATACTCTCCGATTCTATTTACTCTTATGAAATTATAATGATATTTAAAAAGAATAAGGGTTAGAGATTGAAAATATTATATTTTATTACTAACAGACAGTAATATTAGTGAAATAATTAAATAAAAATTGTTTTTTCTTTTCGAGGCCCTCTTAAATTATAGTATCCATTGACCCCCACCTTTTATTTAATTTTAAACTTATGTTCATTTAACGGTGTTGTGTTCGTTAATTTATTTATATTAGAGTGAAAATAAATTATGGTTCTACACATTTAAAAGAATAATATAAATGTTTATTTCTTATACAGGTAGACAAAATTAAAATTAAAAACAATGGAAATGAAGATTTAATATTTATAATAATAACAATAAAAGGCTTAGCGAACCCGAAGGTCCGATGCGGACACCACCAATCACCAATCGCTCATTACACACAACCCTCCACTGTTCGCCGTCCAAGCATAGTCCCGTCAGATCGGCTATTTAATATTTAATGCAAATATTTTACTTTATTTTGGTTTGAGATATTTTTCGAAACACGTAACTAAAAAACCTTATTTTCTTTATGTTCAATACAATCGTTAAAACTAAATTTGAGAGTATGTCCAGTTATAGGAAATATTAGTACACACCTAGACTTTTTTCTGACATTCACACATATAAAAATAATTTTAAATATTTTTAACTACATTTAGGCGGTTGAAATTAATAAGAATTTCTCTTTAACAATGAGTAAAAAGTAAAAAGATAGCAATTTTTTGGAGGTTTTTTCAAATCACAGTGTTTGTAAAAATTTGATTTTAACACTTTTTTGTTAACAAAAATAAGATTCAAAGTATCAGAAGATGCAAATAAGAGGCACGTGCATTTTTGGTGTGAAAGGCGCCTAAGGAATAAAACTAATGGTTTTATTAAATTACAAGTAGTCATGCAACGAAGAAGAGGTAGAAATAAGTGACTAACATGAATAAAAAACTAAAGGAGAGTATAAAAAAAATATATATTAACTTAGATTCTTATTAAAACTTTTATTTATATACATTTTATTACAAAATAAATATATTAAAATTAATTTCTTCATTCAAAATCTGAATAAAATTAAAACTTATTTAACTGTGAATTTATAATTCACGAAAATTTTCCTATTTCTTGAAATAGTTTGCATAATAAATTAATTATCATAGTACTCTCATTTCTGTAATAGAAATTATTTCTAGGATCTTCAAATGTACACAACCAAAATTATTATCACAATTACACACCAAATTTGGAAATTAATATAATATGAACAAAATAAAAATAATTTAAATTAAAAGTATAAAAATATGTCATAATTTGGTTTTTCATTAAATTCTAAAATATATTAGTTGTTCCAAATAACTAATAAACTTATTTTTAAAAAATTACAAATATATAATTTGATTTAAGTCAGGAAAATTAATTAGAAATTGCAGTTGTACCTAGTGATTTCATCAATTTATAACAGTTCATTAAACGTTTTTTATCTCCAATTTTTTCAAGACTTTTAGCAGCTTCTACTAGCATACCAGCTCTTTCACCAGGCGAAGAAAGCATCGATGGAGGAATATGTCTGCATGCTAAATAAAGAGCAGCTGCATGTTCCTTTTCTTTACTCCAACAGGGCGATGACTTTTCTGGAAACCAGCAATATAAAATATGAAGTGTATTAATTAAATGAGAATAAATCAAACAATGCATTACTTAACTGAGTCTGAATGGTGAAGATTAATTTGTAAAAATTAAAATGCAAGAGGTTCCAAATTTTTCGTATACATATTTGCTAAGATAAAATAACGTTAAAGAAAACTGGTGTCGACGGAGCCTACATCATGGGTTGCATTGCAGGCACATGCTCATACTGTTGATTACTTTATACTAGTATTTCCTACTAGAAACCTTTCAACCAAGAAATATTTTTCGATTTTTTCTCTTGCTCAGTCATTGCTGAGTAAAAATGTTTAGTTTATAAAATGTATATTATTAGCTATTATACAATCATGTTCAAAAGTAGAGTAGAGGTTTTACTTAGTCATGTTTGGCAGCAGTACAAGTCACACTGCAATGGACTCTGGTCATACCCCTCAGTCCCCAACACAGCTCTCAGACGCACAGTTATTTCAAGTTTTAGCTAAATATGAACCCTTTTTTAATTATTTTAAAAGTACAATCTCAATGTTATAGATGTTCTCTATCACTTGAATTCTATTGCAGCTCAAATTTATGTGATTTTTTTCCCCCCAGGCAAGTACCCAATCCATTTGTTGACCAATATGAGGTAACTTATTGAAGTTATTATATATAATATACTATATGTATAGTAACAATACTTCCATGCCAAATATTAAGATAATACACTTAAAGTTTTGCTAAGTAGGACATTCTCTTATTTTTTTTTTGTCTTTATTATTGACAATAGGAAATCATCAAAAGAGAATATTTTGATAATGACAAAGAAAATTGCAGTGAATTTTAATTTACTTCTGTCAGGATTCAAGTAATTTTTCATAGCAAATTATTTCAATTAGCTGATTTTTAAATTCAAGCTATGGTAAATTTGTTTAGTATTACCATTATATTAAAAAAGTAATTAATTTGAGAAAAATTATAATCATTTATATAATGTATCTCAAGATTTTCCAAACTTTTGATAACTTAAATACAGACATTACTTATTTTTGTGAGCACAACAAGGATAAACATTTTAAAAAATGATATATAAAATAAAACCTTTTCCACAAATGATTGAGGACTTCATTGGTCTGTGCCTTAAAGTTCTATCTAAAAGATGTAAAGTCTTAGACGGCAAAGCTCCTGTCATCAACCTTCCAACTGCTTCATAGATAAATACCCTGTCTTTTCCATTCTGTAAAATGATATTTAAAAGTAATAATAAAAGTATTAAAAAAAAATACAGTAATTTAAGTAGTAAATTAAAAGATACCGGCAATAAATGAGTTATTCTCTTCAATGAATCTAGGTCCCTATTAAAATCAGTCATAAATGAAGAACTAACAGCAACTTTTCCATTTTCCCAAACAGAAGTTCTGGTTTCAAGTAACCAATCACAAACAAGAAGTTGTACATACTAAAGAAAACAAAAATGGAAAAAATATTAATTACTAAAAAGTAAAAAAAGTTCTACAGACAAGATAAAGTTAACAACTTCTGGATTGTTATAATTTATAAACATGAGCTAAAAAGAACCCATAAATTTGTCTTCTTCTTTCTCCCTTTCAAGCCATTTATTGGAATAGAGGGACAGTTTCAATATAGCACTGCCAGTTTTCCCAGTCATTCCTTCTGTCCAATGCTATTATTGATCTGGTAGCATACCTGGTATACATTTGGAATTCTATTGATCAATCCTACCAGACCACCTATTATAGTTAAAGAGATGGTTTTACTCATTTACTACCTCTAGGACTCTTTGAGTAGTTGATGGAAATTCCTTTCTGTAATAGCTCCTTCCCCCATTCCACTAGTGCCCATTATAGCTGTTCTTTAGAGTTAACAATTGATACTAAATCATCCAACAAATAAGAGACCTATTAAAAGGACTGTCCGCATCTTCCATTTTCCTATTGCAGTCCAGGGTGTTCTGCTCTTGCATATCTAATGTATCTTTCCTTTTAGAATGGTGAATAACAGAGGACTAAGGCTATTTCCCTGTCTGACTCCTGATATAATGTATGAACAGTCATAGTTTGGTCTATTGTATTAAGTCCCTGCACCACCCATAGTTTCCAACTTTAGACTTTCTTAATTTTCTAAAATCTATCATTCAAAAGACAAGTTCATCCATAGCTTAAAAAAAATTGAGCGAAAAGCTCTTCTTAATCTTTTCTAACCTGATTTTAAATTCTTAAACTCTGCAAAATCCACTTTGCTAAAATTTACTTAGAACTTTCAATCCTCTGCAGATGAAAATAAAATCACTAACCTAGTAAGTATTATTATTCAAGCTGAAACAAATACCAATTGCTTTTAACACTTTAGATGAGCAAAGCCAATATAATGGCTCGGGTCACCTGTGACACCAGAGCACAATACCAATATATTGGCTTCAGATTTTTATTGTTTAGTTGTGCGAAATCAATACTCCGGCTCGTTAGAGGCCTCTCTACCGGGTACCCCATGAATCACAGGTTGTTGATGGAATCACTAGATAGTGTGAGATGTATTATTTAGTTGTGGGTATCCTTTAGGGTGATGAATCTGAGCTCAGCTTTTCATATAAATGCTTCCACCCCTATATCACCTTTGTCTAATCTTTTGAACACAGTTTAGCTCTAAAACTAACAGTAGTTGGCAGTGTTTTGAATTTCTAAAGTTGAAAATGAATTTTAAATTTTTAAAAACTTTTTAGAAAGTGTAATTTATTTATTTTTTATAGTATATGTAATAAAATTTACCATACAATGAAACATTTTTAAATTTTTTCCATATCAAACATCAGAAATAAGATAATAATAAAAAAAGGTTAATATAAAAATAAAAAAATTCAAATGAAGATGTACCAAAAAAATTAGAATATATCAAAAAATAATTTAAATGTTACAGTATAATTTAAAAGTAATATAAGTATCAATATCTCAGATAAGCTAATACGACTGGTAAAGTTGACCATAAGAGATGTAAAGTGTATTGTGCAGGTTGGTGGTCAAAGGACAGTTTGCCTTAACAAAAGGACTTTGCCAAGGCGATGCGTTAGAATGCCTCCTCTTTAACTTGGCACTAGAGAGGCAGTGAGGGATTATGGTCTGCAAACTAACAGGACTATTTACAATCAGACGGTTCAGCTATTAGCCTATGCAGATGATGTGGACATCGTGGGGCGGGTATTACAGTATGTTAGAGAGGGATTTTTAGCTTTGTTGGAGGCCACAGGAAAAGCACCTCAACCTGGCAAGACCATCAATATTGGCCCCTTTAACTTTGAGAAAGTAGCATAGTTCAAGTATTTGGGGTTACTGGTAACACAAGACAATGCACCTGAGGTCGAGGTCAAGGAAAGAATATTGATGGCTAACAACTGTTATTTTGCCCTTCGTAAGGAATTCATCTCCCACCTTCTATCCCAGCAGACCAAGCTACATCTTAACAAAACATTAATCCGCCCAGTCTTGCTGGATCAGAAACATGGACGACAACTAAAAGAATTGAGCAAGACCTCCTAATCTTTGAGAGAAATTTTTTTTGAAGAATATTTGGATGAGTACAGATCGATGAAAATCAGAGAAGGCGGAAAAACACCGAAATTTATTTGATCTTTAATGATCAAGATGTCATTCTGAGAATGAAGCTTAGCTTAGGAGACTGAGATGGGCTGGCCACGTAGCTAAGATGGAGAATGAAGCAATCCTTAAGATGATCCTGACAGACCCTATCCTCAACGGCACTAGAAAAGGGGGAGACCAAAACTAAGATGGTCAGAGTGGCAAGAGACCCAAGGGATGTTCTAGGAGTCAGGAGCTGGATGATGGCCACACAGAACAGAGATGACTGGAGGAAGCTGATAGAGGAGGCAATATTAAGCATATGTGATTTATACATTCCGAGTAATGCAAAATCAAAGAAGCTCAGAATGAAAACATTTTTTTTTTTCATTTATTAACTAATTATTTTACAAGAAATTAAATATATATATATATAAAGACAGGGAATGATCTTTGATTTACTTCTAAATAGAGCTGTGTATTTATTATGCAAATAACTTATCGTAAAAGTAAATAATATACTCAGCAGTAACTTACCAAATTTTTTTTATCAGAATCATGAAAGGTAGTAATACTATCCAGCAGATGATGTGAGGCAGCAGAAGCATATTTAAGAACCAATTTATGACTTTTACCACTTGAAAATGAACAACGCATCTGAAATGCTGATAAAACAGCTCTTGCTATAGGAGAATTAAGTAGTTCAGAAGGTACACATTCAACATGCTGGTACATAGACTCAGCTTGTGTATCTTCTCCCAAATTCCAAAAAACAGCAACACCCAAGACATGAGCCCACCATTTAGCATGAGAGTCCACCCGATCTATTTGATAAATAAAAATATAAATATATTCACTAATTAGTCAACAAAAATTCAATGAAATAATTCAAAGATACTATAAATAGTATTTTATTAATCCTCATTGTGATATGTTAAGTAACTTAATAATACTAAAATGTTAATATAAATACTAGAAATTTTATTAATATAAAAAATGAATAAACATACAAGAACATATTGTTGGTTTATTGCGAAAAATTTATCAAGTGACATTTCATAACCTCTAATAATTAAGAACTTGGATGAATTTTTCCTTTGTGATATTGAAAAATTGTGCACTTAGTGTAACTATATATTATAAATAAAAGGATGTGTGCCATTTTCAAGCAATTATGGTGTTTCTTAATAGATAAAGAAAGTCAAAAGTCACAAAAACATATTTGAAAGTTAACTTATCAAAAATGCATTTAGCGACTTTTTTCAATCAACTGACAATATGAAGGTAATTAAAAACAAGTATAAAACAGCATTAAGTAACTAACATTAACTAAATGAGATATTTTAGAAAGAACATACTTTTATAACTAATGTTATCCATTAAAATATTTAAAATTGATAATGAGGTTCCAACAGACTCAACACCCGTAACAAATATTTGTGATCCAGGAGCAACTAATGATTGAAGTAAACCTTCAATTAAGTTATCTCGGAACACCTGAAATCAGTAAAATAGAATTAGAGGCTAATCACATAAAACACATTCAGAGTTATCAAACAACAATTTAAAGCTGTGATTGTTCTGTTACTTATCTGACACAAAAAATATTAAATGAAGAATAGTTTTTCTTGCTAAACACTGAACTTGACATTCCTTTTATCACAGCAAATGCCACAGACTGATTTAACAATTTTCATGAAAGACTGACTCAAAATTAAAATCCACTTACTCAAGCTCTGTATATTACAACAAATTCATATGATCCGCCCAAAAGACTGCTGAGGTGATAAAGCGCTGAGGCGCTGGGCAAGAAACTTACTGCAATGAGTTACTTGCTGTGTTATCTAATACTTTTGAATTATTATAGTTTTTTCTTTATGGTTTTGTATTATTTGTTTCTTTTTTCTGTATTATTCATATTCTTTTTTGCTTATTTGTTTTTTGTTTTTTTGGTTTTACACTGTTTATTTTCTTTCCTTGATATCATTTTAGCTAATAACATCAGTAGATAGCAAATTTATCCTCACAGAAATATATGAATTTTATAAACAAAATAAATAACCTTTATTGTTACTTCAGTTTTTCCCAAACAGCCAACATCAAGTGAGTGGAAGCATTTCCTAGACATTCTTACTCTTTTCCTAATTCTGTGAATATCCAGTTATTCTCATTGAGATGGGCCCCCAAATACTTGTAATCTAAGATGTGCTCCAGTTTTTTACCCTTCAATTGAAGTAATCAGTCTTCCCGTTCCACTTCTCTTCCTACATCATTATTTTTGGTTTGTTTCTGTTCATGTTTAGCAGCTCTAATTCTTTTTACAGGAGATGGTTATCCTACAGGCAACCGATATATCCTAACAAGATCGGGAAGGGTCCATCATGAAATAAATTTCAAGCTCTCAGGTTAGAATAGAACAGGCGCTGCTAGACACAAGGTTGCTGAGATAACCAAGCCTCAATACTCTGAGCCAATACAACTTACTTGTCTATTTACTGATTCTTTTTTTTTTTTATTATTATTGAAATTTACAACTGTATTTAATAATGAATGCAACAAGTAACTATGAAATAAGTAACATGACATGAACAAAATTAAGAGAAACTACCCATTGATAGCACTCCAATTATATTTCTGTATCAGAAGGTCCTGAGGCCATCTTCTTTTCATATGCCTCAGAGGGTTATAAGGAATAGAAGAGGAAGCAAGGTTGGAAACAACAGGGTTCGGATGGTTCAGAAGTTTATTATGGAAGGATAGATACCTGGATTGAGCTAAATCGGAAAACATATGGTACATTAAGGTCGTTATGAATGATTTTATTTGTGACAAAATAGAGAGAATTGAAGATTTTATGAAGGATTTTGGATTGTAAGGATTGGATAAGAGAGGAATTTGATGGTTTAGTAGAGCCCCAAAGCTCGATCCAGTAAAACCAAATAGGCCTTATTATAGTAATATATAACAGTATTTTGTAAATAGTTGGAAGTTTAAAGCGTTTGTCTAGTAAGTGCTGCAGTAGTCGAAAATGTCGGCCGGTTTCAAGTCGTTTCAGTCTGGTAAGAGAGTTTCAAGCAAGATATTTGTCCAGGTAGAGTCCTAGGTATCGGATTTGTTCAACAGGGATAAGTGGGGTATTGTTAAAGAATACTGTAGGACAGGAAGTCATAGGTTTACAACGAAGAGTAAAGGTAATTTGATGGGATTTATTGGAATTTATTTTAATCCTTCAGTTTTGACACCTTTTTTCAAGACTTGTAATGTATGATTGAAGAGTTTGGGATGCAATAGATGGATCGTTATTAACTGATAGGATACATGTATAATCGGCATAGGTGGTGATGAAAGTGTTGGAATTCTGATTTTTTTTTTTAAATTCTTAATACCCCTGTTTCTGGCCATATTTGACATAAGGGAGGAGCCTTTTCTGAGAGCTATTTCATTATGAATTAATAAGGTCTTGGTGGCCTAAAACCATAATGCTCTTCACCTTGTACGTTACACTAAATAATAAGATGTCTCATTTTTGAAAACTTTAACTGAAAATTGTTCATTTCTATGAGAATAATCCATATGTAATAGATGACATAAATAATTAATGTGGACTAGATCATTCAGAGCGGTATATCTAATTTTGTGTCAAAAAATAAGAGAAGTTAAACATTTACAAAGAAAATTTTGTTTTTGAACTACAAATAATGAATAAACAAGTAAAAACTTACCATGCATGTGAATGCTAGAGGACAAGTAGGATCAGTTTGTTCCGTAAAAATATTTTTATTAACTGAATATGACCAGTTATGATTAAGAGTAAAATTTTGTCCAGCAGTTGATAGTATCCAGAGTGCATTAGAATTCAAGTCCTTGTTGAAATGACCCCTTCCCAATAAGAAGTAATACCTATAACAATGCTCAACTATATTTTTGATTAAAACTAAGTTTTATTCATAGATACAATAATTTTCATATGTAATAGTTACATTAATTAATAAAAAGATGCAACTTTATATTAAATTCATAGAACATCTAGTTTTTACATTCATAGTTCTAATTCAATTTAATTGCTACTGTAGCTATAATTTCTTTTTTTAATTTAGATCATTTTTTGATATACAAAATATTTTTTTTGCATTAATTCGTCTCCAGTTTATAATTTAAATATGTCTTAATCAATGCAGCAGACAAATGCTGTTTGTAATATGCATTGTTTTATTCTCAGGAGACTATATCTCCCAGAATCAAGATAAACTTTTCATTTCATTCCATAATCACAATCATAAGCTGTAGATAATCAATTATTACTTGTATATCAAAAATAATTGTTTAAATTTAACATATTAGAGTACTACCAATGGGTAGTTTCTCAACATGTGTTTCATGTCTTTATATCCATGTGCGAATTTACCAGATGTATTTTTTGTATACAGTTGTAAATATCATATAAATAAATTAAAAAAAAAATTTAACATATCAACATTAGTACAGTAGTCTTTGTCTGATGGGACCGAAGACAATCTGTTTGTATTAAACTGCAAGTAATAGGATTATGATAACTTTATTTTTTTATAAATAGAGTATCTCATCTAGGGATGGACAATTCCAACTACAAGTGGGAATGGATCGTTTCAGTTCTCATCAGAACGACATAGTGGGACAGATCCCATCTTCATTCTTTGAACAACATTTGAAACGAGATAAAGAATAATGAAGCAAATATACGTGAGACTTAAACAACCAAAAAATTATAGAGACAGAGGGAAATAAAGATAAACAGAGAGAAGTACAAAAATGAAGAAAAAAAAACAACAAAATGGACATTTTAAGAACATTGATGATACCCAAGCGCAACATTCTCTGAAAGGGGAAACTGAATGAAAGGTAATTATTGATTAAACAGATACTTAAAAAAGATATTTTAGATGAGGATCCTATTAAGTAGTGGTTTGGTCTATAGAACAACTACTCTAATTTCTACATAATTACCAAAGAAATGTTGAGTATAGTTGCCACTAATCCGTACAATCATTATTCTAAATGGATGCTAGAATGAAATTTTGGATTGGAAAGAAAACAGAATGTAATGGAATCTAAAAGCATTCATTCATATTCCGATGGAACAAAATTCACCTCAGAATGAGAAAAAACGTTCCGAATCTTTCCAAAAGTGGAATGGTTTTTTTGAAGCGGTTCAAGGCATTTTCATTATGAATAACGAGACTGCAAGTTCTGTGCCTTCTTCGTTCTGCCATTGGAATGTGAATTAAAAATAAAATAAAAAAAAAGCATAAATTTAAGAGAAATATATATTTTTTTAAACAATATTGATATCTCTTATGACTCTTATAGGAAGCTAAAAAAAGTAAAATAAAATAAAATGCAAAATCAGACGTTTTTCTAAATCCAAATAATCTGGGAAATAACCAATGATATAAAATCTCATATGACAAACTTCATTAGCACAACAGAACCACATGTTTATCAGTCTTAATAATAATAATAAAATTTGATTAAAATAACTATTTTAATATTATTTATAATTAGTTTAATATTATTTTAATAGTTTATCTGAATCTTGACATTTGAATTAATATTTTTAAAATTTGCAAAATGCTTTCTTAAAATCATGGATGGGATCTTATTATATTTCAATTTAGTTGGATTTCTTTATACTTAACAGAACACTAATTTAAATTTAGTTGTAATGGTTCACATTTGAAGCAAATAACTAATTTGACTATTTTGTTACTTAAATCCGGTGGCAATCTACTATAACTCACTGTGCTATAAGGCGGCTATACTCACCTTAATTGTTATAAATAACTTTAGTATCTATTTGAATTTGCTGCTGAAAATTTACCCATCGAAACCTAAACACGTTTACATTCTGATCTTAGATTACGTTCCAGCGGAATAAAGTTTCCGAGGGTCTCGTTCTGTTCCGATGGTGGAATTTGTTCTACTCAGAACGGTCCATCCCTTATCTCATCTCACCAATTGCAAGTCTTGGATGATATATACAGAAAAGGTATTAGAAGTCTCTAATTATCTAAAGATTATAAGCTCAATTCCTCAAGAGTAAGTTCGAGCCAAAGATTTTGGCTATATTCATATATGGCATATAGAACGAAACCAACAGTTGAAATCATAAGCAACTGATGTCATATACTATTGCAACTGATGGCAACCTCACCGCAACAATATATTAAATATAGGAATGACTCCACTAAAAAAAAATTATTATCTTGAATCTCTAAAAAAATAGCAAAACAAAAAACCTGGACTCAAAGATAGTTCAGCATTATACAATATATTGTTGTCTAACAGTATGTATAATGTAAAATCATAATGCAAATACAGAATACAAAAAAATTAAAATAATAGTTTTAATTTCTTGGATATAAAATTCATTGTTATTTAAAGGGAAATTCCTGAATTTATCCTCCATTACTATTTTAAAATAAAATCAATATTAAAAAAAAAAAAATAGTAGAGTTTACCTGCTAAGAAGTTTCATTGTACTGCTTGAAAACTCTTTTAATTGCAATGCCAAACCAATGTAAATATCAGACAGTACATCTTTTGGCATGAACTCATTTGCTGTTTCAGCTCTATTGACAGCAGATACAGCTGTGAATATACCCAAAATAAAATCACCATTTTCAACCAAATTTAATCTATGCAAATGGTGGTATACTAGTCCTGCTTCTCTAGCTGATACCATAACTTCAGTTTTATTTTCTCTAAAAAATATGAAAATAATTAATTAATATTTCCTAAAATAAAAAAAAAATTAAAAGGAGGAAAAATCAAAACAAATCTACAAATGTATGATTCCATTCATAATATACCTCTATGTCACCTGGAATGAAACTAAACGACTGATGAGTTTATTTTATGATGATTTGGATTTTTTTAGGCCTTACAATAAATACATAAATGAAGCAGTGAACAGTGTCAATAAAAAGTTACTAAAATAATAACATCAGTAATGATAAAGACAATTTCATTACCTTAGCATATCTGTGGAGTTTGACTGAAGGAAATATCAATGATGCACTGAGATTTGAGAGTATTTAGAAAGGATAAGATATTTAAAGCATGAATTTATCTGTAATTTTTATTAAATATATGACATCATGCTTAGAGCAACTCTGAGGAATGATTACTAAGTATTTTAATCAAATACTGCTCCACCTTCAAATATTTTAGTTTCTACTACAGTTGATGATTTATGAGAACAATATAATTATTCAGAGATATATTGTAAAGAAGATTACTATAGACAGAAATCGAGTACTTTTATCTAAAAGAATATGATCTATAACCTATATAAAATATAAAAAAATAGTTTCATATACCAGAAGCTCAGAGCTAAATATATATATATATATATATATATATATATATATATATATATATATATATATATATATATATATATATATATATATATATATAATATTAATACAATAAAATTAATGTATTCATGTTTTAATTCAACAACTGATAAAGTAGGTTCAGGTTATGAACATCAGAGGAAATATATTTGAAGTCAACAAAATTAATAAATTATTTTTTTCTTTTATCTTTCAACATAAAATAACTTGCGATTGTGATTTAGAAATTATTTATTTGTTCTTAATTAGTTTATTAACATTTTATATTAATCAAGAAAACAATGCAAACACATAATTTTCTAAATGAGTTAAAAAATTTTAACACAGTTTACTGTGTGGACATATATTTTTGTCAACCACGACTTAACCTATTCTTTTTTAATTTGAGAGAAGTACATTTCTTACAAATGCAAGATTCAATGACTCTCAGGGGCTCCTATTGTTTTGTACGCAAGGTACACCAGTCTTCAAGATACCTAAAGCTGCATATCAAGGAAGCTAATTCGAATCCACAACCAAGGAAATTTTTAATTTTTTTTTTTTAAACAAAATTTCTTTCTTTCTTTCATTATAATGCAGTTTAACATTTTTGTTGTTGTTTCTAATTAATTAATAGTTTATAATTTGCAATTTAATTCCATTTATATTTAATGTTTCTTCTTTTTATATTTCACAATCATTTTTAGTTGTACCTTTACTTACTCATACATATTTATGTTATATTTTATTTACTCAAATTGAATTAATGTAGCAACCCACAATTTCAGTTATTGCATTACTTCTTCATAAAGATAAACTCTCATTATGGGAGACCTACAGCTGTCATATCCACTTACTCATGGATTCCAAACATGTATACATTTTGTTTTTCTTTTGTAAATAATATTGATTTTATAATCATGTTTTTACCTATCAATTTATTTAATATTTTGAGATTTAATTGATACTAAGGCCATTATTAGTTTCCTAAGGCATAGTTTTAGAAAATAATATCCATTTAAGGCTGTATTTTAACATTTCATATTTTTTCGATATAAGAGTCCATTCTTAAATTTTTAGACTATTTTTTGAAAACTATCCCCATTTAAGGACTGTTCTATTACGTATCAAAGTACTTTAACTTTTCAGATGTCATAAATATAAGGATCTATTAGCGTTTTAGCAAATGATGTTTTTGAAAATATCTCCTGTTCTTGCATATTGTTTCATTTAAATATTTCATACTTCTTTGATATAAGAGTCCATTCTTATCTTTAACTTCTCAAATTTCATTTGAATATGTTCTATTACTATATTATCTGAGGCATGCTAAATTACGTTAATTAGTGTACACTCATGTTCTGAATGAATTTGAACTTGAAGATGTATTCTGACGAATGTGGAAAACTATAGGAATAATCCAAAAGATTGAAAAAAATAATGGTAGAATGAAATTTTAGATTGGAAAGAAAACAGAATGTAATGGAATCTAAAAGCATTCATATTCCGATGGAACAAAATTCCGAAAGCACCTCAGAATGAGAAAAACCGTTCCGAATCTTTCCAAAAGTGGAATGGTTTTTTTGAAGCGGTTCAAGGCATTTTCATTATGAATAACGAGACTGCAAGTTCTGTGCCTTCTTCGTTCTGCCATTGTAATGTGAATTAAAAATAAAATAAAAAAAAGCATAAATTTAAGAGTTTGTTCAAACAATTTATCTATCTTATGAATGGTTTATTTCTGACAATAATGGTGTATGCATCAGACTTTCCTTTACTTAGAAGTGATATTTGAAACTTCAAGTTGCAAATATTAAATCTAACCATACTCAGCCACCATGGTCTTATTTAAATTAATAGTATTTTTTTTTTAAAACTGTGCCTCCAATACCACTTCAATAATGTGGAAATAAAAAATGTTAAAATTAATCAACAGGTAAGCATGGGATCTAAATATAGATATTATTTTATAAAATTATGTCTCATTTAACATAAAAATGGTACATTATATCAAAGAAATTCGAGAAGTTTAAATAAATTGATCAAAAGCGCAATTTTAAATCAATAGTATTTCTGAAAACTATTAATGGATCGTCATATCAAAGAAATCTGAAAAATTAATTCATAGACGCAGGTGCAATATTAAAATTAATATTATTTACAAAAACTAGGCCTCGGAAAACATAAGAATGGATTCTTAATGGTCAATATAATGTTGATTGAAGATCGAATAGAAGTTGATAGGAGGTTCAGCCAGAAGAGAGATTAAATTATACATAAATAAGAAGTCTTATTTTATAGTGTGCCAATGTTTTGGTCTAAGTTTTAGGCCTTCGTCAGGGTAAAGTAAAAAATTAAATAATAAAACAGCATGAGAATTTAATGAGCAAAAGAGATGTTTTAATAAAATACTATTTAATACCTGTGAATAAGAAATCCTTGTTCATATTGAGAAAGCCACTTTCCAATCCATAAGCGATGAAGAATTTGTCTAGAACTCTGCCACAAGCAAGCTAATATAAGACCAAATCTGGATGAAGGCAATGTATACCCCAGAATAGACAGACATAATTTAAGTTCATGTTTTGCATCCTTAACATTGCCCTAAATATAAGAATAAATACAAAAATATATATTATTTCATTAATAGCAAACAATAAACTTCAATTATGGGATTAGGATACATAATAGAATTAGTTTACAATAAAATATGACATGTTTAAATGTGGTGTTACACAATGGTCTAAACGTTTGCGCGAATGTTCACAGCAACATTCATAGCAAAACCTCGAATGGTTCCGCAAGTGTGATATGAATAGTTAGCGCAATGTGAGACAAATGTTGGATTTTTGTATATATGTATATATATATATATATATATATATATATATATATATATATATATATATATATATATATATACGTTACTGGTTTTAACGAAAAATTAAAATTTTATTATAATTACTACAAATTATTATTATCAGTAAATAGGTACTTGTTATGTCAGTGCTTTAACATTTAATTAATAATTATTATATTTGATTTATAATTTTAAAATTATGCCTGATTTATAAATAAAAAACTAAATCGATATTTGATGTTTATTGATTCAATTAAAAATAATGATACGATATTATATTTGATTTATAATTTTAAAATTATGCCTGATTTATAAATAAAAAACTAAATCGATATTTGATGTTTATTGATTCAATTAAAAATAATGATATGATTTTAATGAATGAATGAAAAATCCTTTCGGACATATTTGACAGGGCAACAAAGATAGAAGCATTGAACACAGCATTGAACTATAGTTGCGGCCATGACACTTGGAACTCCAGCTATTATTAAACTAATATTTTATGAGGATGGATACAATATTGTTTAAAAAAAAAATTAGCTGTGAAGCTGCGTGTTCTCCTTCAGTTAACCAACGAATGGTTTTCAAAGGTTTAGCTACAATTTGTGAGAATTATCATGATGTAGACATATTAAAAGCGGTGAAGAGCAATTTTTTAAAGAGTTGACGCCCGCATTTTAAGGTTGACTATTGTTCGAATAGGTGTTCGCCTGTATACAGAATTACTGTTAAGAAGTTCATTACCTAATATACAAAATAAATATGTCCATAGATGTATATATTACAGATAGTAAATAGTATTGGTATGTTTTTCTTTTTTAAAAAGCACTGTTTTAACTCCATTTTGCTTACATTTTGTTCATTACCGCATTTCAATATAATGGCAAGGGCTGTTATTGACGGTGACAGGTGGAAAGATTAGGACAACCATCGTTGTTATAACAATTATACGTTTATAACAACAAAGTTTACCAGGTTCCTTAAGGACGACATCCACTGTATAGAAATACCAATTTGAAAAAAAAATTTACGAACTAAAACAATTTCCTGACTTCTGCCAGTATTGAAAATTCCCTGACTTCTCCATGTATTGGAAATTCCCCGACTTTTCCCACCCTGATTGATTCTTGCTCTCGTACGATTCTTTTTTAAATAATAAAGGAGGAAATAAACAAAAATGATAAATAACAAATAAAAAGTTGTATGTTAGTCAAATTTGAATACATTTTTATCCCTATTTATGACCAAATGAAGTCTTGTAGAAGTTAATATTATAAAGCTTCCAAAATGGTTTAGTTAGGTATTGCTAGATAACATTTTTGAACACCAAATTTTAGACTAAAGAGATAAAAATACACATACATACACACAAATAATCCTAAATTATTTTTGTTTTATAGAAATTCTTCTAAAATAAAATGAAAATTTGTTTTGTTATATAAGTTTTAATATTAAAATTAATTTAGTTAAGGATTTCAATAACAAAAAGTAACATCAGTAATTTTTTTTCAGATGGAATGTTAAGCAATTTATAAAATCACTAGACTAAGGTTTAATTGAATTAATTCAGTATATTAAAAATAATCAAATATACCTTGATCATATACAAATCAGCCTGCTTACGATGACGCCAATAGTCAACAGATGATTTAGATTTTTTTAATAAAACAGAATCATTGTAAAGCAACAGTTTAATAAAACAGCATAAAAGAACTAAAATATTTATGAAATTTAAAAGAAGTGATGAACTATAATCCCATTCATTGTGACCTAAAAAAAGTAAATAAAGTAATTAAAATATATTATATAATATTGAAACGTAAGCTACTATAAATAACACAAACTTTTATACACATAACAAAATGTTATGAGATTTTTAAAAATAATGATCTGAAATATGTTTTTAATTCATTCATATATTAAAATAATTGGTTAATTTCAGTAGTTTTCTGTTTGGCACAACACCCAAACCAGATGATGGTCAAGTGCAGAAGAAAACTAGAAAGCCTAATGTTTGAAGGACACTAATGTTCCAGTGGATACTCTGTCAGATCAAGATAAGTGGAAATGAGGAATAAAATATTTTAAATTCATTAAAATAATAAATTAGTACATTTTATGTACTAAAATAAATAAACTATTCAACATATAAACTTACTTCCAACAGCCTAAATATGAGGAAAATAAGAGAGACAAGCAAAATATATAGATCTTACATGAAAAAACAAAAATGTGGTTGAGTGAAGTACATAAACTACAAGTTAATATCATAATACAGTATCATACAATAAAAAAATCCATTGTTATGTTAAGTTCAAATAAATCAAGAAATTACCTTCAGTAGTCAATAGACTTCTGCGCTCCCTAACTGTTTCAGGATACATTGAAGACATATAACTGAACTTATTCATTATAAGTTTAAAAGGATTGAAAACAATTATAGAAAGCATAAATGCACATAAGACAATTCTTGTTTGATCGAACTTGCCTTGAACCCTCGCAGTATCATAATCATCTTTCATCTAAAATTAAAAATAGATATAAGATTATTAAGAAAATCAATTATAGTAGAAATAGATTGTTTTAAATCCAATTTAATTGTGAGTATGACTAGAAATCGCCCGACGTTTCCGACTACTCCAGCACTTACTAGAAAAATACTCTAAACTGCCAACTATTTACAAAAGACTCATATATATTACTATAATAAGGCCTATTTGGACTTACGGGATCGAGCTCTGGGACTCTACTAAATCCATCAAATTCCTCTCGTATCCAATCCTTAATGCTCCCTACTTTGTCATAAATAAAATCATCCATGATGACCTTAATGTACCATATGTTTCCGATTTAGCTCAATCCAGATACCTGTCCTTTCATAATAAAATTCTGAACCATCTGAACTCTTGCTTCCTCATCTATTCCTGATAATCCTCCGAGGTCTGAAAAGAAGATGGCCTCGGGACCTTCTAATATAGAAATATAATTGGAGTGCTACCAATGGGTAGTTTCTCTTCATGTTGTACATGTCATGTTACTTGTCGTATTTATTATTTAATACAATTGTAAATTTCTTTAATAAAAAAAAAATATTAAAAAATTGTGAGTATGTTTTGCAAAGATATTACTATCAGAGTTAGGTTAGGATTCTTGGCTGGAGGAGGTTAGTGGTGCCCTATATTGGTTGAATATAAATATTCAGAGCTACTAATCAGGACAATACTGATCAGTTAATACACATAGTGGAAGCAAAGTACACAATTGGAACAAGCAATGAATGCAGGGACTAAACCATGCCCAGATATCCCGAGGTTATAGAGGGCTTCTTGTTCTGTTAATTACTTAGAATGAAATAGATCCAAATTAATATGAAACCGATCTTCAGTTATTTCATATGTAAACCATGAATTGCAAGGACAAACGGATAATTCAAATAATTTTTAGTATACCTGAATGAGTGTTTTTATACTTAATGACTCGTTTAGATATACTACTACAATCTATCTACATTGATACATCAATCTAGCCGCTAATGACCCGAACGGGTAGATGAGAATGTAACAATAAATAAATAAATAATACATCAATCTACTCTTTCTTATTGTTTCGATTCCCTGAAATTCATGAATGAGATAGCAGTCTTCCGGCGTAGTATTCTCTATAGCACGGGGCGAACTCTACCGGAGAAAAGGTAAAACTGCAATAGAACCAGAGTCAAAGGCAGGCAGGCTTAATTCGCTAATTTTTTTTTCTTGTGAGATATTTCTGGAGAATGGTTCAGTATAAGAGTAAGCCGTTCCCCAGCAAAAGAGAAAGAAATGATAAGGAGACTAGAAAAAGTGGCCAAAATTTCATTTATACAATCATCACATTTTTAAATTTTACTAATGTCTGAGTAAGTTCGACCATTTATTTATTTTTTTTTCTATTCAGCATCGTCACCACATTCTAAAATATGTATTTCATAATCTTTTTCGACTACCTGTAACATCAAAATTTAGTCCCTTCAAGAAATTATACTAACCATTAACCTAAATTATATTAATTTTGATCCTCCATTTTCCTATTATGTAATAGATTAAAATATAGTTTGAATTCTTAGTTTATTTATATAACATTCATAATTTTTTTTTCTCTCTCATACAGATCACTCATATTCAAAAGGGTTTGAGTACCTGACCATTAAGTTGGAGGCATTAATTCATAAATAATTATTTTCACCAAAATATAGTTTTCTCAGCTTTTTAACATTAAAGTTTTAAGATATGGTTTTTAATTTATAACTCATCGATTTTAGTCAATTTATGCCGCTTATGTTTATAGTTAATTTGATTATTCTCTACAGAGTTCAACAATATTCAAGATGATAACATTTCCACCAAACGTTTCTAGTTTAAAATGCAGTGAGATGAAATAAATAAAAATTATCAACCTCAGCTCACTTTCAAGAGTTAAGATAGTCTTTAGGGACCAAGTTTCTATTCCTCAAACAGAGATTCCTGATTAACAAAGTTATGACAATTGGTTGTTTACTACAACAAAAGGCAGACACATACGAATCATGTAACAAAACAGCGTTGTTTATTGATGATGATTAATGCAAATATTTTTGAAATAACCTAAGAAAAAAAATTAATTAAATTAAAGAATATACTTACATTGATATTTTGTCTATAAATGGACTCTATAGGAGTTGGAGGATCAGAATGAGAAGGAGATGAAATATCTGATCTGGGAGGAGTAATTCCTCCTATTTCCTCCTCTTTACAGTTATTTGTCATTAAACGATCAATTTTACTATTTAAGTTATAATTTTCTAATTTCAATTTATTGTTGGCATCTTGTAAATACTTGATGTATTCAATAGCTTTGCGTAATATAAGTGACTTGTTCATCTAAAATAAGAAAAAGGAAAATTAAATTTGAAACTAACCATTTAATCTATAGGTCTAAAGGCCTAGTCTAAAGAGGCCCAAGGAATGTGAAAGTTAAAATTTAAAAAAACACAGCAACTTTACATTAAAAATAATAATAATATTAGAAAATTTATATTACTGTGGACATTAACATGAAACTTTAATATGACTTATACAAAATCAGAACATAAAATAATAAAAAATTCAAACTAGTAACCAATGTTATGACCATAAAGGATTAATTAAATTAAATAGTAATCCTCTAAGCTTCAGTTATTTGACCTATAAACCATTAATTGCAAGGACTGGCAGATTATTCATATCAGTTTTAGAATCCTAGAATCAGGGCTTTTACACTTAATGACTGGTTTAGGCACACTACTACAATCAATCCTGCCATAGTTTTCTCAATTTTTGAAAACTAAATTTTAAGAAATAGTTTTTAATTTGATTTATTTATAATTTCATTACTACTTCATATGTTATATCAATACAATAATAATAATAAGGCTTAGCGAACCCGAAGGTTCGATGCCGACACCACCAATCGCTTGTTACACACCTCCCTCCACCGTTCGCCGTCCAAACCCAGTCCCTTCAGATCGGCTTTAATGCAATCCTCCCATCTTCGCTTCGGTCTACCCCTCGGACGCTTACCATTCGGCACAGCAAATATTAACCTTTTAGGAATTCTCTCGTTACTAAGCCCAACAACTTTACAAGCCCATTTGATTCGCCGCGATGAAATTACCTCAATTATATTACCCGGATACATCTCACGCAATTCGGCGTTGTGTAACCGTCTGAACTCTCCGGTTAACTCATCCTTTTTCGGTCCGAATATTCTACGCAATACTTTATTTTCAAAAACCTTAAGACGCTGCTCATCCCTTAATGTAAGCGGCCAAGTTTCGCATCCATAAAGAACTGTAGGTAAGATAATTGTTTTATAGATTCTAATTTTTAAGTTTCGGGACAAGAGGCGCGAACTAAGTAGTTTTGTCACAGAAAAATAACAAGCATTCCCCGCCTTCAGTCTAACCTTAATCTCTTCTTCAATTTCGTTTTTTCTAGTTATCGTAGAACCTAGATACCTAAATTTATCTACCTGTTCAAACATATTACCATCTATATCGATATCACCAGTAGTATCGCCATTTTTGCAGCTAACCATATATTTTGTTTTATCCACGTTTATTTCGAGTCCTAGTTCTTTCCCGGCTTTCATTAACGTTGTCGTATTTAGTTTTATAGTTTCAACGTCTTCGCTTAACAGTACCAGATCATCAGCATAGCCCAGCACGGATGTTGTCCCGCCCAGATCCAACCCTTTCTCGGTTCGCATTACCTCCCTAATGGCATGTTCTAATGCCAAATTGAACAGGACAGGCGAAAGAGAATCCCCCTGTTTTAAGCCCGAACGAACCTCAAATTTTTCGGACAAATTATTACCGATTCTAACTTTATTGAGTGTCTCCGTCAAGCACATCCTGACTAGATTTACTAGTTTTTTTGGAATCCCCTGCTCGATTAGAATATTATACAATTTCTGGCGGTCAATAGAATCGTAAGCCTTTTTAAAATCTATATACAGCTGGTGAACAATACCGTTATACTCCAATTTTTTCTCTAATATTTGCCGTAAAGAAAATATTTGATCAATAGTCGAACGATTCCGTCTAAATCCGCATTGGTAGTCTCCGATAATTTCCTCGGCGTATTCCGTGATTCGACTGGTTAAGATTAAAGTGAATATTTTATAACATACCGGAAGGAGTGAAATTCCTCGATAGTTATTACAATCCGTCCTCGGACCCTTTTTGTGAATCGGAATAAGAATAGATTCTTTCCATTCTTCAGGTAATTTCTCGTTCACCCAGATCTTTTTAACCAACCGATGTATTTTAGAAACTCCAGCTTCTCCGCATGCCTTAATTAGTTCAGTAGGAATATTATCGATTCCCGCTGCTTTATATGATTTTAATTTTCCGATAGCTACTTCAACTTCCTCTTTAGTTGGTCCTTCTATTAACGGTTCAGCACTCTGGTACTCAGAAGGAGGACACAGATCATAATTTCCCGTATTTAAAATATTGTCAAAGTGGTCCTTAAACTTATTCAATATGTCAACCGGATCGGTCAGAATATTGTTATTATCATCCCTAATTCCAGACGTTACGGGCCCTACATATTTACGTGATCTGTTTATACCTTTGTACATGTCTCTTACGTTATTTTCGATTCTATTAGTTTCTATTTCAATTATTTTATTTTTAAGATACTCCCTTTTTTTATTTTTGAGCAATTTTGTCGTTTCGTTCTTTGAGATTCGGAAGTATTCCAGATTGTCTTCGCTAGGATTATTTAGAGCTTTTAATTTAGCGGCTTTTCTTTTTTCACACATGTTTAAGCAATCTTCATCAAACCACGGTTTGTTATTCTTATTTTCCTTTTTTCCTAGACACGAGTTACCGACCGCTTTAATATTATCTCTGATCTCTATCCATAACTTGTCAATATCCTCGTGGTCCTCGTCAGGAAGCTCTAAAGCTTCAAACCTATTCTTAACATCTAGCTCGAATTGGTTTCTAATTGATGGATTTTTTAATTTTTCCAAATTAAAATTCTCAAAATCGAAACGGTTTTCTTTTCTCTTTTTTATATTAAGTTTTTGTCGAAGTTTCGCGATTACTAATTCATGATCCGACCCACATTCTGCTCCGCGATAAGACCGTACATTAATTATACTACTTTGCCAGCTGTGTTGTATCAAGACATGATCGATTTGATTTCGTGTTTGCGAATCCGGTGATGTCCAAGTATATTTATGAATATCCTTATGTTTAAACGTCGTACTTTTAATTATCAGGTTTTTCGAGATGGCAAAGTTTATCAGACGGATCCCATTATCATTACTATATTCGTGCAAACTTTCTTTACCAATCGTCGGAATATAAACTTCTTCCCTTCCTACCTTTGCGTTCGCGTCACCTACAATTATTTTCATGTAGTTTCGTGGTAGTTTATCATAAACCCATTCGAGTTTATCGTAAAATTCACTTTTGACTTCATCGTCACTGTCTTCGGTCGGACAATGTATGTTTATTAATGCGATTTTAAACCAACGTCCCTGAAATGTAGCTACCGAAATTCTATCACTAAAGAATTGTACGTCCCTCAAAGCGGATAGTAATCTACGCCTAATTAGAAACCCGGTACCTAAACAATGATTCTCGCTTCCTCCGTACCAAATAGTGTACTTCCCTTCCCTCATCGAGCCCTCCCCTGGCCAGCGAACCTCTTGCAGAGCCACGACATCCAAATTGTACCCATTTACCTCATTCGCGACCGATTTTAGCCCCCCTGCTGTGTTTAAACTCCTTACGTTCCACGTACCAATATTTAAATCCCTATATTTCAACTTGCGCCATGAATCCCCTAAAGCAGTCCCCACCCGGAGACCCGAACGGGGGACTAGTTTACTTCCGGATAATGAGCGTTTTACCTTAGGGAGATCCATGACTTTTTGTGGTGTTTGGTGAACTAAAGATATGTGAGTAGGGCGTTCAATCCTACGTCACACCCTCCAGCAAGTCTGGAGGTCCCCTCCCTCCAGCAAGTCTGGAGGGCCCCTCTCATTGTTGGTCAGCGAGTCCATAGGACTTAGCCGGGAGGAACTTCCAAGAAATTTCCACCGACCATCCCCACATCCGCCACCCGTGGGACGCTCCCCATACGCGGTAATGAGCCCGCGCGAGGTATATCAATACAATGCAGGCGAAAATAACTTACAGTCCTGGTCATAGAAATTACATCACCCAGTAAAATTTTTATTAAATTTCATTTTATTTACCACATTGCTATCTGCAAGATCTCCAGATATTTCTTTGCCAGTTTTGAAACGATATTCTAAAAACAATCGCATTAGACTGACATTAGTTAAAACTGAACTGCAAAACATTTTTATAATTTTCTTGTAACCTTAATAAGTAAAGATAAACAAAAACATTCAATGGAATCAGCATTATCAACATAAGAATCAAAAGAAATAGGTGATGCAATTTCTGTGACCATCTATCATTTCTATGTAGTTAGCAATCTATGTAGATATTTTTTAAATCTATGACATTGGAGGAAGAGACCCCATTTTCTGAAATAAGCGAGACAGATTCCCAATATATAACAAGAAGGACACTCCAAAAGCGCAATCGAAATTCTGCTCCTGCATCGGCGGGTAACCCACCTACTAAGAAAAAAAAATGAAGCTACCAAATCAAAAAAATATCTGAAAATAGCAAATCTACACTAAACACCCAAAGCAAAACCACTACAGCCAACAAATTAAAAACAGTTCCACCATCCACCTCAGTCAGTAATTCTGTTACTACCAATATTTCGTCAAATAAAACTCAGGAGCCAAAAACATTTTCGGATCCAGAACCGCCACCTATTTTTGCGTCAAAAATTGAGAATTCTATGTCCTTCAGGACAAGAAATTGCTGACTTGGTAGGACAGCCAAATTTTCGATGTTTCTTAAGAGTTAATGATATAAAAATTAACATTAACTCTAAAGAAAACTATAAAAACTCATTGAGTATTTTACATCAAGAAAATACCAACTCCACTGCTATCAACTCAGACAGGAAAAAACATATAGAGTAATCTTGAGAGGTCTGAATTAGACTACCACCACAAACGCTACTAAAATCGGATTGGAAGAAATAGGCCACAGTGTCAGAAATATTCACCCATATTACATCCTAGAGAAAAATATCTGTTACCACTATTTTTTATGGATCTGGAACCAGCAAAAAAACAATTCCAAAATATTTCAGGTAATGAGATTAGTATACTTAACAGCCCGTTTTGAGGAACCTACACAAAGGTCCATAGTAGTGCAGTGCACAAATTGTCAAAATCTGGGACATACCAAAGCCTACTGCTTTCACGAGGCCAGATGTGTGAAATGTGCAGGTTCATACGCATCAGACACCTGTCAGAAACCAAGGCACGAACCTGTGATAAGTGCTCTCTGTGGTGAAGCCCACCCTGCGAGCTACAGAAACTGTGAGGTTTATTAAAGTCTCCACAAGCAAAGATCCCATAATATAGCAGTAAGAAGCCAGAATCTTGTTCAGAAAAGTAACACAGAACCACCTGAAATTGAAAATCTGGAAGTTTTCCCGATACTGCCGATAACACCTTAAATCATCCAACAACGGCCATTAATCACTATGGACCTTCCTCAACAAGAAGCCACCAAGCAACACTCCCACACTGACACTCAGACCTCCAAATCCAAACCTAAAATCACTAATCCTCAGCATCAACCTCCACGTCAACAAATCCCCACTTATTATCTTCCCCTAATGGTCAAACTTCCACCAGAGCACCCACCCGCATCCAGCACCATCCCATCCTAATCCCTAGATAAACTCGCCATCATATGTACCTCAGAAATTTCAACCAACTCCTAGTACCCAACAACGCATCCTACCCCCTACCAATAACCCAAATCGCACAAATTACCCATCGCAACCTCTTCCTGATCCAAATCCATTTCACAGCCAAACATTATCCGACATCAATTATATCCTATCAACATTTCTGATAGGCCTTCAACAAACTATCAAACCACTCATAACCATTCTCACTAGATTCCTTTCCGAAATCCCGTTCAATTTTTCTCGATGAACACAAAGCCCCTAGCTATCCTCTTATGGAACGCTAATGGACTACAAAACCACTGTGACGACAATTACATTGACATTGCCCTCCTGACAGAAACTCATTTCAAACAACAATCAAACTTTTACATATCTGACTACATCACTTGCAGATCAGAGCATCCAGATAACACTTCCCATGCAGGCTATTGCATCCTTATCCATAAATCCTTATCTCATTCCCTAATTCCTTCCATCCCAACAGACACCATTCAATCAACCTCGGTAATCCTATCAACTGGCCATTTCCATCTTACATTATCAGCTGTATACTGTCCTACTGGAAATTCCCTTTCTCATAGCCTTCCTGATTCCTTATTCCAATCACTCGGATTGCGCTTTATTGCTGGAGGAGACTACAATGCTAAACACAAACAATTGGGTTGTCGAACATCTAATTCCCGTGGTAATATCCTATCTCATGTCTCATCTTCCAATAGTTATTCTATCCTCTCGCCCATGAATCCAACATATTGGCCAACATCCCTTAAAAAACGTCCTGATATCCTAGATATATTTATCAACTCCTAGATTTCCTCTTCCCGGAACACAATAAAATCCCTGGATGACCTTTCATTAGATCATAGTACATAATACATAATAAACCCTCACATCCGAAATTGATTACAGGACGAGTAGACTGGGACAAGTTTCGTTAAGATTTGGAAAATAAACTGGACTTAAACATTCCGCTTAAGACAAAACAAGACATTGACAAAGCCATAGAAAAACTTACTACATCAATAGCTATTAGTATAAATGATAACACTTCCATCAATAAAAACAATAACTCATGACATATTAACTTGCCATTACATATTCGAATCTTATTAAGGGAAAAACGCAGAGCAAAATCGAAATGGCATAGGACTAGATATCGTTCAGATAAAACTTACTATATCGAATTGACTACCAAACTAAAAATAGAAAACTCAAAAATTACTTAACCTGACTGAAAATCTTACAACTACTGACAAATCACTATGGACGACCACAAAAAAGATTCTAATGTTTAAAGACTTTAATCATCCACTATTAACTGAATCCCAAACCCGGTCCAAATCCGATCAAGAAAAATCTCAACCATTCGGTCAACACCTCTTCTAAACCTTTAATCCACATCCTGATATCCTTAATCCAAATCAAATTGAATGTATTGAAGCAGAAGTGGATATTCCACTCCAAATGACTCTTCCACCTAAAGCATTTCATCCTTCAGAAATATCCAATATCATCAACAGATTACCTTCCCGAAAAGCTCCTGGACACGACCTTATCACTTCCCAGATACTAAAACTGCTTCCTCGGAAAGCCATCCTATTCCTCACCTATATATATATATATATATATATATATATATATATATATATATATATATATATAATATATATATATATATATATATATATATATATAATGCTGTGCTCCGATCCACATATTTTCATGATCCTTGGAAACTATCTATTGTCAAAATGTTACACAACCTAAAAAACCAACCGAACACCCACCCTCTTACTGTCCTATTTCTCTATTACCTATCATGGGCAAAATCTTAGAAAAACTCATCCTAAAATGCCTGTACCCCATCCTAGACTCTAATCACATTATCCCTGATCACCAATTTGGATTCTGCACATCGCATTCCACTATCCAACAATGTCATCGTGTGGTTGATGTAGTCTCCTCTGCATTGGGGCGTGGTATGTACAGCACGGGTGTCTTTCTCGACGTTGAACAGGCGTTTGATCGAGTCTGACACCTGTGACTTCTGTACAAACTCCGCAAAGTCCTATCCTCTACATACTTCCTCATTATCCGTTCCTATCTTACTGATAGACACTTCAAAGTAAACCAAAATAGTGTCTGCTCATCCCTCTTTGCTCAATCTGCAGGCGTTCCACAAGATAGTATCCTCGGTCCCATCCTCTACACAGTTTATACAGCTGACATTCTAACCCATCCTGACACTGTCATCACCACTTACGCCGATGACACATGCTTGCTATCTGTTAATAATTACCCTTTAATTGAATCCCAAACTCTTCAATCACATATCACAAGCCTTGAAAAATGGTGTAAAAATTAAAGAATAAAAATAAATTCCAATAAATCCCATCAAATCACCTTTATCACCCGTCATAAACCTATGACTTCTTGTCCTACAGTATCCTTCAATAATACTCCACTTATTCCTGTTGAGCGAATCCGCTACTTAGGACTCCACTTGGATAAACATCTTACTTGGAATCCTGATACTAGACTGAAACGACAAAAAACTGCTCGACGTTTCCGACTGTTCCAATACTTACTAGACAAACGCTCTACACTTTCAATTAACTACAAAAGACTTATCTACATAACTATAATAAGACCTATATGGACATACGGAGTTGAGCTTTGGGGATCCACCAAACCATCAAATTCCTATCGTATCCAATCCTTACAATCCAAAATCCTTAATGCTCCATACTTTCTCACAAATAAAACCATTCATAAAGACCTTAATGTATAATATGTCGCTGATCTAGCCCGAGCCATATATCTATCCTTTCATAATAAACTGCAGTCCCATCCAAATCCCCTTGTTTCCACCCTTGCTTCTTCCTGGATTCCTGATAATCCTCCTGGGCGTCTAAAAAGGAGATGGCCTCGTGATCTTCTTAACTAGAATTATTTAGGGAGTGCCACCACTGGGTAGTATCTCCTTCAGCCTGTTCATGTCATTATTTATAATTTGTGTATATTTACTAGTTGTATTTGTATACAGTTGTAAATTTCATTAAATAAACAAAAAAAAAATTGATGACATAATTTATTGAAACAAAAAAAAAAAACTGATCTTACTTTCACCAATAAATAGATAGAAGAAACATTTAATTTAACATATAATGATAAATAATATTATATTGTTACTTTTAAAATTATTAAATGAGTTTGATGAGTTGAACAATTAAACTGGCTCTGGGAGTTTTAAATCCAGTATCTTAACTATCTGATCTACCTCAGTCTTTGAAATAAACTTAAATGTAAACATAAATATGTCTTTAAAATGATGGAACTAATGGCTAAAATAAAAAAAATATTAAGATATTAAAATAAAATACCTTAGCAGAGGGACCAGCAATTATATCTTTCAATTCAATTATTCTGTCATTGATACTAGTTCGGTACCGCCTTTCAATAGCATTATGCATATTTCGTTTCACTTCTTTCACTTTAGGTGGTTTATCTTTTGGAGATGATTTGGATCTATTACTGGTTGTTGTTACCTTATCAGGTTCTATATCAACAGGTACAGCTATAAAGGAGAAAATTTTAATAATAACAGATATGACAGAGTAAAAATAAGTTTATATTTATTTTTTAAAAAAAGTTAAAAACAGTGAAAGTAACTCATTCATAAATGAGTAAAAGAAAATTCTGATCATAAGTTGAAGTGTTAATAACTAGTTTGATTAGAAATCAGTAATTTGTTATAATAGACTAGGAACTACCGACCATTTCATTTAACGGAAGGACTTAAACTAGTAACCATTTTAAATTCTAGATAAACCTCATCGGAACACATAACTTCGGTCATAAATTTAAGAGGCGAAATTTGGAAATGATGTTAAGAATATGTCCCTAACAGAGAATTCACCTTGACTGATGAAGTATTCGGTCGCATATTGAAAACTGATGTATCAAAGTCATCAAATTAGGCCAGTCGGATGGTAGTTAGATGAGGAAAAAATTCAAATAGTCTATTGCACTTTGTTGTTTTATGCTTTTTGGGATGCTGAATCTGAATTTGATGTTTCCGAACGAAATCTTCCATTGCATTGCGAGATATATTAAAAAAAACAGCGAAATTTTCGATTTTTTTTTTTTTTTTTTCAGATATGACTCCCAAACTATAATATGCATTTCAGCAAAATTATTATCATGTAAAAAGTTAAAATTTACTATCAATTTTAAATGTAGATTTTTGGTGTAGGTCCTACAACTGAGGAGTTTGAGAATGTTGACTGCTTATTTCACAAGAAATGTCTGTTTTTGTTGGTTTTTTCTCATAAAACTCATAATCTATGCATCTCTCGAAGAAATTCATCATCATTATAATCATTTTGAAAGGGCATTAAATTTCCTATGCACCTCATGTAGATACATTAATATGTGAGAGGGTTAAAGAGACTTAACCACCTTTCATTGACATTTAGTTACTAATACATTCAATATCTATAAGCCATAAACATTATTTAGATATAAAAAAAAAACATATATATATATATATATATATATATATGAAATTTACTTGTGAATATGGTAGCATTAGCAGATGGTAGGTTTGGAGATATTGCATTAACTACAGCCTTTCCCACTGGAATTTTTTCTTGAATCTTTTCTGTGTACATGACAGTTGGATTGGGACTGGTAACTAATTGTGTATGTAAGAGCATCTGTAATAAATGAAAAATTTTTTTTTGTTAACTTTATACTCATGAATGCTTGAATAAAAAATAAAATATTAAAAAAATCAATTAGAGCAATTATCAACTTCAAAAAGGGCATTAAAAACTAACTAAAATCAATACAATTTACAGAAGAAGTTAAATAATTTTTTATTTTAAAATAAAACTGATAATATTATGTGAAAGAAGAAATGAAAATTGTCATAAAATTTACAATATAAATAATTTAATCCTAGCGAAAAATATTTAAAACACCTTACACACGATATATAAATATTGTAATATTTGTATATCAATTAAATTGTATCAACAACTTAGTACAGGTTTGCATTAATAACAGAAATATAATGATTAACTTAAGTAAACATTTTAAAAAAAATTATAATTTACCTGCTTTATTTGTTCATTGGGTACTTTTATTTGTCCAGCATTCTGTAGTGAAACATATCTACTGCCTGTTTTTTCAGCTAAATTTTTATTCCTTTTAATAATCAAAGGCTCATGTCTATAAGAAATATTTGTGCTAACTTGTGAACCAATTTGTTTAACAGGTTGAGATTGTTGTGGTTGAGTCCATAATGTTTTAATATTTCCATAAATAATATTATTTTGAGGTTGAACAACACGATTGTTTGGTTGTAACAAAATGGGAGTTGGTTTTAAACCATTAACTGAAGATGTTTTATTCAGTTTTTCAACAGTTGGGTTGATACATGGTTTACTCTCAGGAATATTTTTACCAATATTACCAATATTTGAATTATGTATTGTATCATGTAAAATTAGATTTTCAGACACAGTAGTAGGTACATCTACCTCCATTGGTAGTGAGGGAGGCGGTAAGGGAGGTGATAATGAAGGTTCTTTCTTAACTTTTTCCTCCTCAGCTGGTAAGTCATCAAAATGGCAAAGAATATCTTCTTCAAAGAACAATCCATCTTCTCTTGAAAACAACTCATGTTCATAGTTGTTAATGAAATCTAGAAACAAAATTACACAAATTCAAGAGAAAAATATAAAACACATTTCAATCTCATTACCATATTTGTTAGGTCTGAGTTTGAAAATCTTTTAGTAAAGCTAGTACACTTTCTAATTCTAAGATAATCCTGCTTCTTGTGTTATGTATGTTTGTCATATGCTCATCTGTAACTACAATTTAATCCCTTTTTATGACTTATATTTGATGATATTCTTACAAAAAAGCCTCTCAACCAATTTGTTTTACTTTGAATAAATGGAAAATCAACAGTTTCTAGGATTATGTTCATGAGTCCTGGGCTCATTACAGTATAATTTCATTTACTTTCATAGAGATTTTGCGTGAAATTGATCTAAGGTGAATTTCTACTTAAAGAATCTATCATAAGAATGATTTCAGAAACATTAAGGTTCACTCTATAGAGAATTTTTGGTGTTGTCAATGTAATTAGTTTTAGTTTTTATCTAATTTAATTATTGATGTGTTAGATTTATTCATAGGTCTTGTTTTGCTTTGTAATAAGAAAAAGGAAAGTATTAAACTGAAGTTAAATATAATAAATAAAAATTGATTATAAAATAGATTTAAACAATTCTATAATTTAAAATGAATAAGTGGTGTTTTTCTTCTTCATAATTTTATAATTAAGTGTCGACGGAACTTAAAAAATTACAGTAAAAGTAAATAAAAATGATAAAATACAGATTAAAAATATTAATACTTGTGAGGAAGCTCAAACTGTAGAAAAACCTAATAGTAACCTACTCCCTTCCTAAATCTCCGTTAAGATTTAACATTATATAAAAAACTGATAATGGTGATAACGAAGCTTAGCTGTTACTAGTTGTTTAAACACATTAAACTCAGGTAACTCAATCTTGGTTAGAACCATGAATGGTGCAACTGGCCCATAGTTAGACAGCGAAAACAAACCAAGGATTTTATTTAACACGGAAGATGTAAAGCTACCAGCCTGTTAAATTTATAGTATTTATCCTTCTAAAACATGAAATGAAAGTCAATTACCTCAAATCCAGGGATTTAAAGTCGAAAATTTGATTCATGATTCAAAAGGTCAGTTTTTTCGTTTTTTATATCAGTAAAGCTATGTGTTCTAGCAATAATGATGTTCTGCATAAAATTAAAGCTGACAAAATTTGCAATGGAATTGGTTATATTCATTTTTCCGCTATCTTGAATAGTTTCCAAGATATCCATCTTCTCAATTCACTAATTTGGAAAAAAACAAAACAATGTTGCCTCTTATTTTTATCATTAATTGACTAACTAGCCAACTCTTTATCATTTCATTTTGCAAAATATTCATCAACTTTTGTATGCTAAAAATTTACATAGAACATCACCATCGCTAGAATGCATAGTTCACTGATATAAGCGGAAAACAACTTTTTGAATATTGAATTCAAATTTTAATTTGAAATCCCCAGAGTTGAGGTAACTGACTATTATTTCATGTTTTAGCAGCTTTAAATCTCCCAGTTAAATAAAAATGTTGTCTTGTTTTGGCTCTTAATCTTTGGAGGCCTGTGGATATGGTAAATTTATATGGTTAAACTTCAGTATGAAATAAATCACTTTTTGGCCATGGATTTCAGGACTGCCATTTAAAGCTAAAAAGTATGAGAAATGAACTAGGCTCTGGCAGCCTCTGATGTATCCATATTTGAAATGGAAAAAGTTGCATTTGGTTTAGAAAAGGTTTAATTTGTTTGTCATGGCAATAGTTGAATTTTACATGGAAAATTTTTTTTATAAGACAAAAAAAAAATTTAAATAAAACTTGGAAATAGTCCTCTTCAAATGGTATCAACAATGACAAAATCTACTTTCCTTTAAAATAAATTTTGTTTAGTTTACTGTGGAGCAATCGTTAATTACTTAAGTTAAATATTTTTACTTTGTTATCGATTATTATTCAATAAAACGTAACCAACTTAAAACACACAAATCTTGAATTTTCTACTTTTCAACTGGAAATTGTTTATATGAACTTTTTTGTAGATCTTGATGTCAACTATCACCCTTTTAAATATTTCTCTCTACTTACAGGACACCCTGTATATGCAGCCAATACAGTAATACTAGATTGTTACAAAAGTCCTAGTGCATAAGTATAGCTATTACATATTTTAAATTAACTATTATTGTAAATAAATAATTTATTTATGACCACACAGACATGCAATCTGTACTTATAATTTGTTCTAAAGGGACAACAGTCCCAGAAAAATAAAATATATTTTCATTTCAAAGGCAAGCCCATTCTTTTTAACTACTTTCAGCCATTTTTCTGCCTGTAACTGGATTTGATGCTCGAACCACTCCTTTGATTTGGAGGCAAAGAACTCTTCATATCTAATTTTCATATCCTTGTAATCATCAAAGATCCAATTTAAAAAAAAATGGGCCATTGATCTAAACGAACTATAATCTGATGATGCAATATGTGGGCTATACACAGGATGAGGCAAAACATTTACTGCTTTCAGTTCCGATAATTTTTCCTTGTTCAAACGAGAATGATGTGCAGGGGCATTGTGTTGCAAAGTGGCTTGGTTTCAGTAGACCAAAGTGGCTTGGTTTCAGTAGACCAAAGTGGGGTAGTTTACACTAAAAACTGCAGAAATTATGTCTAGCTGGTCATAGTAACGGTTTGAGCTCACAGCCCCACCATCAGGAACAGGCTCAAAATGCTAAATGCATTCGTTGTTCCACCAAACACAAAACATCACTATTTGCCCAAATCAATCTAGGTGAATCTCTGGTTGTGCCACTTCACCTGGGCGTACCAACTGCTTATGTTCGATTAGTTTTTTTTAAAATATCCGCTTTTTCTCACTTGTGATCATTTTTCCAGAACAAAACTTTGTAAATATCAACTTGCTGGCTTGGGCCACTATCAAGTCATGTGGGACGGATCATGATCCATATGCCCAGGAATTTAAGATGACAACCTACTATTGCATTAGAGGCCCCTGTTACAGCCAATAAATTATGAGTAGTTGCATGTGGGTTCTGGTTCACACATTCAAGAAGAACGTCAACAAGGCCCGGATTTTTATGCAATAAAAAAACATAGAATATGCCATATAATATGCAGTTGCAAAAACATGAAAAATGCAGTAACTAGTCTCTAAATATACTAAACTTACTAATTACTTGATTACTAATAAGGCAATAACATATTTAAATATAATAACATGCCAACAAAAAGTTTTGAAACGAAAAGAAATTATGGAGGGATTGAACATTACAATAATTTCAGTTTTAGTTTTATATCTAAACTTAAGAATGAAAACAACTTAACATATAGGCTAACAAGGTTATAATATACCAATATACATTATACTGGTAAGAAAAACATAACATGAATCACATTAAAAAAAATTTAAATACCAATGCATATACAAACGAAAAAAAACAATAATTGTCTTAATATATAATTAAATAAGCATAGTAATAAAAGATAACAAATATTAAACAATAAGTATGTAAGCACTTCAAAATTTTGAATGTAAATGGATAAAAATCTAACCTGAGTCTTTGTTGAAACAATAAAATAATTAACAAATTGTGGAATAAATAACGTAAAATAGATAAAATATTTGAATTAGTCTACTTTGCAGACATGTTCGGTATTATAATTTATTACCAAAATCATTGCTAAATTTTCTTTTGTGAAACATAATCTTTTATAAAATATTTTTATAATTAGAAAATGATCTTTCTACATCAATAGGGGTGATAGGGGAAAATTTATATCCACTTGAAATTACCGGGTTGATGTCTATGTCGCCGGGAACAATTGAATCTTCGCCATTTAAAATTTTATTCATACCTTCCAGAATCGTGAGACCTGAATTTTTTATAGAAACTTCTTCCATTTTTTCATTTAAACTTTCACCCACTTGGCCTGATACTACTGGTTTTCCAACAGTTGTAAAAACTATTTCATATCTGTTTTTTAAGGTTTAATCCAAGCTTTCAACATTGATGGAAATTATGAAGATACTTTTGGCATTTTAAATGAACAGAGATATGATCTCTTGCTAAGAACGTAAGCAACAAACTAGAATAGAAACTTTGTATGATGTTTAAGCGGCACAAGAAAGGGAAATGAATTTCTAGGAATTAGAGAATGCCTATAAAGAGAATTATTAAAGGGTATATCGGGTGGTAGGTATAATCTACAAATGTGGTAGATTTTGTTCATTGAAAATAAACCTATAATTGTAATCTTGAATGGCATCTTCCATATTGCATTTTAATTTGTATATATACATAAATAAATATTCATTTACATATATATATATATATATATATATATATATATATATATATATATATATATTTTTTTTTTTTTGTTTATTACATTAAATTAATCAAAATATGCAATTATCTTCAAATATGCAAAATAAAATTTGACTAATTGCATCACAGTGTACTAATTCATATAGATATTTGATCAGCGGTTAAAAAAAATAACGCAAACAAAATTGCATAAAAATCCGGGCCTTTGTCATCAACGACCAATGGGTGACCTGATCTGGATTTATCTGCAAGGCTCATATTTCCATTATCAAAACCTTCGAACCGAAGTGCGGCAGTATTTTGAAGGATAACTGACTCTCCTTCTATAAATTCCATAAATTTATTCGGTGGCTGACTTTTAGCGTAGACTTTTCTCCCAGTAATGTCTCAAAAAAGACCTTGAATCACAAGGTTTTCTTCTGACATTGCTTGTGCGTTTTAAAAATGTAAATGACCCCATAAAGCCAACTCAAGTCACAAGGAGTTAAAGGATTAGACAAAGTAAACATCGAAAAAAAGAAGGTACAAAAACATTCTTATGGAATTAATTATGAGAGTTGGAATTAAGGGTTGTATTCATGCACAAGGACTTTTTATCAACCTAGTAGTAGCGGAAACCCTGCAGAAACTACAGGAAGTATCAAATAAATGGAGTGAAGAGATGCAGTTAGGAGGAATAGCTAGCTACTTATGCTGAGAACAAACAAAGGTTGTAAAGGATAATGAAGAAGAGGTGGTAAACTGTATTAGGTACCTATTCACTTTGTAGATGTCTATATGAGTATTTGGGAATAATAATTAGCAAAGATGGAAAAGTAGATTAGGAAGTTCTTAATAGAGTGAAAAAAGAGAATGGAGAATACCCACAAATATGAATGAATGCATAATTGAAATTAATTTTATTATTCTGGGACTAGTGTACCTTTAGAGCAAGTTACAAGTACAGAATATATATTAATATTTTGGTGTGCCCATAAACTACAATTAAATATTTACAGGATGATTAGGAATAAAATAAAAGTATAGATAATAAAAAGATATAAAAATGTGCACAAATATAAAATAAACAGAGAAAGTAAAATAAGTAAACAAAATATCAATATGCTTCACAGCCTAAGGAAATAAGCAATCAGAAAAAGCTTATGCTACTAAAAATAATATTTCTAACAGTTCTGCTCTGAGTTGGACAGTCATAGATTGGAACAGGGATGAGGTTCCTGAGAAGGATCCAGAAGAAATCCGAAGGAACTAGATTTGCTTTGAGTATATGGAAGTACCTCAGGGTTTTGTCAGCAAGAGATGTAGTGGAGCAGTGCCAACTGAAATGGTTTGGTCATGTAATTAGAATGGGCGAAGAATGAAAGATTAAATGGTTGATATAGATCAGATAAGAAGGAAAGCGCTGAGAAGCTGAGTGAGGTACATATCCGCAGATTATCAGACCCAAATGCCAAACTAGTTCCCTTCACCAGTATTCTCCTAATGCACTAAGAATAAGCATATGGGGGTAGTTTTTGGAACATTATTATTATTTATTTTATTTTTTTAATGAAAATGATTCATCAAGTTTTTTGCTGAAAAAGTATAAACAATTTTGTTTTTAATATTAACTACAAAGCTTATCAAACTTCTTATAATTTATTTAATCAAATTTTATTACTTAAATAATTGTATTTTATCATCTTTTCTAAATTTATTTGGGAAAGTACTCATGATCCAAGCTACATTTAACTTTATATTGTAAGCTAATTTTAAACCACAATTAAATTGAACCACCTCCTGCTGAATTCAAACTCCTAACTTTCCACGTCTCTATATTTAAATCCATAATTTTCAATTTGCGCCATGAATCCCATAAAGTAATCCCCACCCAGAGACCCAAACGGGGGTTTACCACTGGATAATGAGCAATCTATCCTAGGGAGATCCATGTCTATTTGTGGTGTATGGTGAACTAAAGATATGTGAATAGTGCAGTAATTAAGATCTTACCCCTTTCACTGCCCTTAAGCTTGAGCGCTATACTAAGATGCGCTTCTAGAGGATGTAATTATAGTTAGAATCACTTTTTTTAAGTCAACAAATAAACTCTCACAAATACGCTTATGTAAACACTAAGATATTTTCATAATTCCATCTACATCGTGATTGATGTGATTTTGTGCCTGTATAATATGGTCAACCACTTTTTCCGTAAGTACCTTCAGTCTATGTATTCTTGTCAGTATACACACTTGTCAACCAGACATCATCCTAGTGGACTAATACGAAACATATTTTTTAGTCTTGGTAGTAGTCAGTTACTGTTCTATTAATAGCTATATAGCGACTTAATGTTTTATCTATATGTGTTTGTTTGACGAGTTACCTCAGCCGGAGAAAGGTCGCTTCCATGAACATTCGGAAGCACTGCTAGGTACTACTTTACATGTATGACTAGCACAAGATCTGATGATCAGACTATAAATGGAATCCAGAGAATAACTGAGACCCTGGCATCAACTTAAAAGGGCCTGATGGTGGTTTGCTTATCCCTTTAAGAAAGCATAAGTTGAAATAAGATAATTAAGGCTCAGATATTTACTGATAAGGGCCATCTGGAAGTTGGTGGAGGTCATAAATCGTAATCTAAATAAAAAAATGTAATATCGCAAACAGATCGTTAATAATTGGCCATTATCTGGATCCTATTTGTAGTGCGTGATCTCGAGATCTTTACTCATTGGACAAAGTAGAGCAACACTTGTGAAATGCTATCAGGATTCTATGTTATTTATGAGAATTAATGCGAAATAGTACCGAGAATAATTTTACAATATGCTCCAAAATCTAAATTAACTACCTAGTATAAAAAGGAGCAATTTTTGTGGTAAAAACAGCTAACATACAATTTTTTTTTTATAATATTGCACTGATTGACAGAAATACACAAGTCATGGGGTGTCAATAACTGAACAAAAAACAATCAATTGCATAAATATTTAAAAATATTAAATGTCATCTTCAATTACTATCTTAATTTATCTTTATAGTTCGAGTGCATATTGTTCAGAAGTATAGATTATATTCACACCAAGATTGATTATTATAATGATGCAATGAAATTAATGTTGATGTATTAAAACCAAAATATCATTCAGAACAAATCTAAATAAATTAAAAAAAAAAAAGAATTGATTCCAATAGAAGAAAGTTATTTCCTAATTATAATTCACTTCTTAATTCCATGTGTCAAAAGATGATGAAATTTATGAAAATATTTAATAGAATGGGAAAACATAAGAAATATAAACGGAAGACTAAACTATATCAAACTATGATAAGTGGAATTAAATATCATACACAATATGACACTAAAAAATAAATATTGAATCACCAATAAATAACAAAACATTAATTAAAGACATTATACCATCTAATTCACAAAGTTCATTCAGATTTAAAGTATCACCAATGTCTATATTACTGTCGTTCTCCATAATCAATGTTAAACATAATTTAATATCAAATTATAAACAGAAAGAAACACCGAACACTTATACGCATTTCAAAATTGACACTATCTATAGTAACCAATGAAAACACCGCAAGAAAGTGGCCTGATATTCTGACAAAGAGAACATAGACAAAGAGATAATATTTGAGAACGATGTATGGCAAAGTTAAATGTTACTTTATTTTCTGATACAGAAGATAACTTTAGAATTAATTTGAGAAGGAGTTAGTCGGGGGTGCGGTCAAAAAAATACGAAATTAAAATATAGTAATTATTTTATTTTAATTTTGCCGACGTTTAGAATTAATTGTGTAAGAATTAAGTATATTTAATATAGAAAAGAAGGTTCAGGGTTAAAGTATTTATTGTGACTTTTATTATTAACAACAGAGAGAAAGAGAAAAATAAAAAGAGATAGTAAAGCATAAAGGCTTAAATTAATAATAATTTATTATTTTTCATTAAAACTATTTAAAGAAGTAACAGTGTTTTCTCATTTATCAACACGTCACTGCTCCATCGTGCCAGCACTTCACTACATACTGCTAGCGTGAGGAAAAAGGGTTGTGTAAAATGAATTAATACTGTCACCACTAATGTATCCAGGATTTAATTTTGGGAGGACTTCAGCCCGTAAGATTTTTTTTTAGGTATTTGTATGTATATATTAGGATAATTAATTCGGACGAAAGAAACTAACTACCTATATGAAATGGTGTTTAAGTGATTCCTTAAGTTCTATTAAATGTAATTAGATGAACAATAATACTTTTAGAGATAATCTTTTTCTTTAAACATGGTTATATTTTACTATTTGGGAGGGGGGCTTCAGCCCGAAAGCTGCTCCCCCCCTCACGCAGATCCGCCTGTGACTGTTACTTCTGCACTTTTTACAATTTTTTTACGTTTAACAGAAACATAGTTTTTATTTATCATTAATTATCTTTTGTTATTATTTTACAACAGTACAATTCATATCTTTGAGTGAAAAATTCGTTAGTAACCTCTCAATAGGTGTTGTTAGTTGGCTAGCATGACGTTTTTATGGTTTTGATAATTATCCTTTTTGATTGATTTTTACACGGCTCACGACTTGAAATTGTTATTTTGGACTGCAACTCTAGCTATTTGGTAAAATATATTTTTAGAGAAATATAATTATTCCTTTATACCCGCCTCATAATCACTAAACTATATCATGGCTTGCTATATTGGTTAATTTTGCATATTTTTACCAGAGTAGTAATGCCAAAATTCCTGGTCACGTATTAAATATTAGCTGATGGAAGTGATAATGAATTCCGCTTCGTATTGGGGTTTCTGGTAGCCTCCGCTTAAAATGATCCTAGATTAAGGGACAATACACTATTAACATAGAAGAAAGAAAAGTAAATTTTATTTTGAAACATTTAGTCCCCTAAGAATAATTATATTACAATGAAGTGACGTTTGGTCACATCAAGATGGTCATCGTTTCTCAACCAACCTGTTGGAGCTAGTAGGGCTCTGGAGATTTATTACGTGTGCTTCTGAATCAGTGGTTCCCATAAAGAGTAAATTATTTCAATAATTTAAAGAATGTGATTACTGCATGTAATAAAACTACTGCGTCGTTGTCTAAAATATTAGTTAATTTAATACCATATTGCCTTGAGTCGCTATTAAAAGCCAGCTGGTTCCACTAAATATGAATGTCAGTTTTAATATAAATTTAAAATAGTAAGATATTGAAGTGTACAGATACTTTTGACTCGTGTTGTTCATTGGTTATATTGAATAATTTACTTATACGGCAATGTTATGTGGTTCATATGACCAAAAATATGTATTTAAGTGTATAGATAGCATAATCATAATAATAATAATAATAATAATAATAGCAATCTTTTTTATTTTTTATAACTGGTATACAGGCGTACATAATGATCAGTCATTGTCATTATTCATAGGAGACTTTAGTCCGAGAATAAAATTAGTTTTCATTACATTTCACATGCAAAAGGAATAAGGAGAGCTCCACACAAGTTGATAATGTTAATTTGGTTTAAAGATTTTACTTATATCAGAAAGATCAGTATACCATAACCCTAAAGTTTATCGACTTTAATGGAGATTTTAAAATATTGATTTTTTAAATTTATGAAAATAATATCATTTTCCCTCCTCATTGGATTGTTTAAATTAGTTTATATAGACGGATAATTATTATACACTTTCAAAATTACTGATAATTTTTTTTTTTTTAGTCTTTATTTAAGATGATATAATTATTTTAACCGGGGACAGTAAAATTATTAAATGGCTTTGCTTCTGCGTTGAAGTGAGTAAATTTATATTATGTTTTATATCTTTTAAAGATATTTTTAAATCATTGAACTATGACGTTCTCTATGAATTTCATTGGGTCAGGCAGCCATCTTGCTCAGCCTAATTTGACCATTTTAGGTACTATAACACAAGTAAATTTCGGTAGTCTATATTAAATTTAATTTGGTTAGGATGTTTGTTGGGGGTAGCAGTCACAGTGTGAAACACAAATAAAAATAAAAACATTTTTATTTTATATTGTGGTGACGTTTCGACCTGGGTTTTAGGCCTTCTTCAGTGCAACTCGTAAAAAGGACGCCAAACAAGTGTGATCTTATTATGTGCAGTTAAATATACCTTTACCATTAATTTAATTAATTAATATTAATTTAATTTGATTTGTAAAGTTATAGAATTAATCATTTTATTTGGTATTAGGAAGTAATTGCGAAACAAAAGTTTCGTGCGTAGCATAAAACGTGGAGACATGCGATATGTAACCTATAACTTTTTAGTAACTCCATCATAAATATCAATACAAAAGTTATGAATTGATAAAATTAATATCCTCATTTGTCAAAACATCAAAAGTTGAAAACCTAAATCCTATATCGTAATTTTCTTGTAAACGATAAAAACACAAGACCAGATTATAATTATAATTCAGTATCAGTTGTGGATTTAAGCAACTGATCCGGAATTATAATGGTGACATCAGGGCAGCCCTGTTGCTAGGAACTGAGCCCGTCACATTAGGAAAATTTTTACCTAGTACTTCTGACAGAGCAGGGTACACTGAGGTAACCGTCGTACATCTCATCCTGGCATAGGGGGCCAATTCTGCTCGGAATAGTGGCAATTTATTGTTTCCAGAGAAAACGCTTCCATTTTCCATTCAGATGTTAGGTGCTTACTAATAGGTTGCGTTAGGTCTGGTCATGCTTTTGCCAAAAATTTTGGCTGATCCCTACACCTATTAAATGACAGGCTCACACCTAGATCTAGGTATTTTTCTTCTAACAATACTTTAACTTTTACTGTTTGAGGTTTTGAAATCTTGAGGCGTTGGACTGATGTTTCTTGAACATCCCAGTATTTTAAACTAAATCGCTTCATTCTCTTTATGTGACTGAAAAACGCCGTCTCTCTTCTTGTTTGAAGTGGTTTCTGTACCCGTTTGTACCAGAAAGCAACAACTGCTATATATTTAGCCACTCCTGTAATTAGTATCAAATTCTTGGTTTGCACCACGTCCAAGGCATGCAGTCAGTTTCCTGGTACAGTCACTTCCATACTCCATTACTTTAATCTTAATTTGACTTGTAAGCTCGAGCCAATAATTCTTCATATGCTCCCCATTTAATTCCTTCCAATATTTTATCATACTTAATCTTCTTTCTCCGTCCTCAACTAATATATCTATTTGGTTCTTCCAACCAAGTTTATAGTCTTGTATCTTATATACAGCCGTGGAATCGGTCGAGGGACCTTCTCATTATTTTACTTAATTTGAACGTTGTGTCATTTAGTCGAAAGAGTGAGGATTTGATGCTCATTTTTAATAGTATTTTTTGGGATTTTAATATTAACAAAAAGTAAAAGTAGTTTTAACAAAGTTTATTTTAGTAGCACATTGTAGAGTCGACATAAAACGGAACAGAACTGAGCAGTACAGTGCAGGGGAGGTTAAAAGCAATGTAGGCAATATTACAGCATATTACATTAGTAAGGGTCATTCAAAACATTCAAATTTAAATTTACATCCACTACTGCAGCACTTACTAGACAAACGCTCTAAGCTCACAATCAATTACAAACGACTCATATATATGACAATAATAAGACCTATTTGGACTTACGGAATTGAGCTTTGGGGCTCCACTAAACCATCGAATTCCTCTCGTATCCAATCCTTACAATCCAAAATCCTTCGTAAAATCCTCAACGCTCCTTACTTTGTCACAAATAAAATCATCCATAAAGACCTTAATGTTCCATATGTTTCCGATTTGGCCCAATCCAGATATCTATCCTTCCATAACAAACTGCAGAACCATCCGAATCCTCTCGTTTCAAACCTTGCTTCCTCCTCGATCCCTGATAATCCTCCGAGGCGTCTGAAAAGAAGATGGCCTCGGGACCTTCTAATATAGAACTTTAATTTGAGTTCTACCAATGGGTAGTTTCTCTTCATGCTGTACATGTCATGTTACCAATGTCACATTTATTTATTGTATTTTCCATGTAATACAGTTGTAAATCTCAATAAAATAAAATTTAAAAAAAAAAATTTACATCCTTCAACACTCCCTCATAAATTTAAATTAATCACAGCTTACAATTTTCTTTTAATACTATATACAAACCTAACCATCAACAACAAATTCATCATATCCCTCCTCCTTCAAATGCAACAGATCTCACCAGTTTGCTGGCATCTTTCCTTACCGATTTTAAATCCTTAGTTACTCCACTCATATCACTCCTCAAAAATCTCGTATCTCACCTCATCTCTCCTTTAAAAAATCCTTAATGACTCACATCCCAAAACCGATATCCATTCTCCTTTGGAATGCGAATGGGGTTAGAAATCACGTTGACGAACTGACAGCTTTATTACTGGGCAAGAACATCGACGTAGCACTAATTACGGAAACACGACTGACCAGAAAACAGCATTTAAAAATACCTCAATACATAACATACCGTACTGACCATCCTGACGGTAAAGCACATGCCGGCACTGCTGTTATTGTACACCAC